GTTGCCTTGGAGACCAGGTTCACTGGATGTCATATGCAGAAACCTTTAAAGTAATAAGCTGAATGTCAAGGACAACAAAGATGATCACAGAGTCCAAAATTCAGTGTATTCAGGGCAGATATGATGACTTCTTCATGGTATACTGGATAAAACTGTCAGCCACATGAGAGTAATCTGACTATTATCATTCCCAGGTATTGCTGTTTATTCAGTGAAGTACACACGTGATGTGTCAAACGCCACGTCTCGCTCCTATTTTATCTCCTATGTGTTTAAATATGATGTAAACCCATTTGTGTCATATTTAAACTCACTGGGTTCTTTTAAGCTCAATTTTTCAATGTTAAAAATTCATAACCTTAAACAAATAAGTCATTAGTTCCTAAAGATGACTAACCACAGACACAGGTGTATGTATATAAAATACAACTGGATTTAATTGAATGAGTGAGTTGAGCTGTGTTGGGCAAAATGTGGCCTGAGGCCTTGAACCCATCCGCCTCTGTCCGTCCCACAGGGCCAGGAATGAGATAAAGTCGAGTCTGTCAGGAGTGCGTTTCATCTGTGACACATGCTGTGCATGATATCAGATAATCTGCAACATGTAAGCTAATTTATATGATGCCATTGAGTTATTTCTTCAGGTAATATTTTCACTGTGAGTTAAGTGAGTTGTCTGTTTCCACACTCTAAGCCCTCTGTGTCTCAAATCTCCTGTGGTCACTAGGTACAGAGGTACTTCCTCACCCTCAGACTGGTTGGCGAGTGGTTGCTGGCTGTCGCTGAGTGAAATCAATTTTAACAAGGGTGCGACCCCATTAACCTCCTTCTTGCCAATTGCTGTGGCTGCTAGCAGACTGCTGTGGTCACTCATAGTTTGTATGAACGTCGCCGAGTGGTAGCAAAAGTAAAAACTGCTCATTTGCCTACCAGTTTTTGTCTCGTTTACACAATTTTTACTGGATCATTCAGTAGGAATGAGGAAGCAGTGAGCATCCTTTTCAGTTTTCAGCTTTGTCAGTTCCCTCCGTTCAACAGTAACCATGCTTTAAAACATCTTTAAAAATAGGCTGTCAACGCTGATCTTTATGAATATGTGTTTTTATTGTGGTCCACTTTAAATGCAAAGAGAAGCTTTTCACCCAAGACAACTACACATCTAAAAGTCAAGCTGGTTCTCACAAGAACAAGAGCAGACGCACAGAAACACACACACCCAGTTTATTCCTGAGCTGACACCAGTCAGGGTTAAAGAACCAGAGCAGGAGGATGAAAGAGAGGAAATACTGCAGAGAGAAAAGAAAGGGGCAAGATGGCTGGCAGAGCACAGAGTCAGCTCCTGAGTGGAGCCAGAGATGATTTTTTATTTTCTCCTTTGATGTGGCAGATGCACACATCCATAACAGGCCTTCTGAGCGAGAGGAGAAGGTGAATATACCTGTCGTCTTTATCCCTTCTTACAGAGCTGGGCACCTTGGAGATGTGAAATTTAATGAGAGAGGCGGCCACATGACAGCGACACAGAGGCAGCGTTAACGTGGGAGCAAAAGGTGGTAAAAACACAGAGGAGTAGGTGCTGACCCGCACCCTCATTTGGCAGTTTAACCACATTCGCTAACAAGCACATTTTAAAGGCTCAAAGCAGAAGTAGGAGGGATAAGAAGCTTGTTTATAGTTCACTGTAGAATTTAACCTTTTGACTATTGTAGAGCTGAAAGTGCTGCATAATAATCAGCCCTTAAGTTTGCATCTATTTAAATGTGTGAAAACTGAGAATAATGATGTCCAGCCGAATTAAATCTGCCAGTCAGGCGGCAGTGCAATCTTTTCATTTTAACAAACAACCTTTATAAAGCTCAACCAAACTTTGGCCTTCTTTTTCTGAGCCTTTTTTCTTCTACTCCTTATGTTTGTTTTGGTAAAAGAACAACGGGAGACTTCATGCATCCAGGGTACAGGACTCTGGTTTTGAATATTTCCATGTGCCTGTTTTCTTACATTTCCCTGACTTTGGCCAATGACAGGTATTTTCAGTATCAGTTATTTGATTGTTAAGAGGCAGTAAATTACTAAGGTTACTGTGCGTATTCAGAATCTGCATAGACGATAGCGACTTGTCTGCAGACGCTTGCCAACTTCTTACTGTGGGTTAGCTCTGGTTGATTACCAGGACTGTGAAAAGCCCGGATGCAAAAGGAAACGGGAGGTCCTTCCGACTACTATGGCTACTATAGTTACTATATGTCATTTTAACGTTTAATGGCCCTTAGTGGCCATCTGAAGAAGTGCATGTGGTCTGAGGGTGTCAACATCTTGTGGTGGAGGAACTTGCGTTACCCTGGAAACACAGAAAAACTGAGTATTTTAAGCCAAATCTTTACTTTTCTTAACACTATCCCTTTATTTTTAGCACCTGAACCAGAGCAAGTGAGAGTAAATGCCTGTGCCACCCTCGCCTCCCTCTCCAAACCCAGATATGATGATTTAGTTTGAGGACTTGTTGAAATATTCACATTTTCCAAAAAACAGGGTTTCAAACCTTTGGTAAGCACTGTTCTTGAGTAGCTCTGTGTGTGTGTACGTGTGTGTGTTCCCAGCGTTTTCTCCTCTCTAGCACTTCTCTAAACTCTGCACTGCAGCCATTAGACTACCTGACTCTTGATATCTGAGGACGGGTAATTTGGGGGAGCAGGTGGGTAGCGAGATAAGTCTTTTCACGCTAATAAATCCCTTTGCAGTGAACCGACCTGAAGTGAATTCAATTAGCAGGGAGCAGAAACACAGGGGATGCACCAGTCAATTGAACACCAATCAGAACTATCTGATTCCTGCTGTAAAAGCAGCAGTTGGCCAGTAAAATACCAGATAATGAAAGCAAAAAATAAATAACCATGATGCGACACTAAGCGTTTTGATTTATGTGAGCGGGGAGGCAGAGACGAGGCCTCGTTAATTAGAAAGATTTTCGTGAGGTGCCCGCTAACATTCAGAAGGAAGAAAGTGATGAAAATGATTTCAGCTGATGTGAAGCAGTTGTGGAGAACCTGAAGTTGCACCTCTGGACATCTGCACAGGGTTAGAGCAGAAAGACGTTACAGTGAGTGTGGTGTTGCTGAAAACTAGAGCCTTGTTTTACAGCCACAGGCCACAGCTATAATTAAACACACCCATCTAGACTAATGGAAGGAGAATCTCAGTGTGTCAGACAACTAATTGCTACACTCAGTCTCTCTTTCTCACACACACACACACACACACACACACACACACACACACACACACACACACACACACAACACACTTCTTTTGTCTTTGCTAATCTAATCTGGCTCAGCAACTCTCACTTTGAGTTCGTTACCTCCACCTTCTCCTCCTCCTCCTCCCCCAGCTCCCCCACCCCTCTCCTCTTCCTCCAGTAAAGGATGTTCTGGGTTTAATGAGAAGCTCCTCATTATTTCTTTGCGTCTCTCTTTGCTCTCAGCGTTCATTCTTTTCTCCTTGAGTTTGTGCTGCTGTTGGTGCGGCTCTGCAATGTCAGAGTGCCGTTAAAGACTCTGCTTTGTTTAGAGGACAAGCACTATTCCCAGTGTTTCCACGGTTTCAAGTTCACTGGGTTCGTTGACAACAATGTTTGTTGGAGAAAGACAGTTGAACAGGGCTTTTATGAAGCGGTCTTAAATAATATTTAATATAAATGGTAAATGGCCTGTATTTGTATAGCGCTTTACTAGTCCCTAAGGACCCCAAAGCGCTTTACATATCCAGTCATCCACCCATTCACACACTGGTGATGGCAAGCTACATTGTAGCCGCAGCCACCCTGGGGCGCACTGACAGAGGCGAGGCTGCCGAACACTGGCGCCACCGGGCCCTCTGACCGCCACCAGTAGGCAACGGGTGAAGTGTCTTGCCCAAGGACACAACGACCGAGACTGTCCAAGCCGGGGCTCGAACCGGCAACCTTCCGATTACAAGGCGAACTCCCTACTCTTGAGCCACGATATCACAATAATGATATCACAAAAATGAAAAATCTTGATATATTTTTGTTCAGATAAACATCCATGTCCAAAGATATTCCATAAATAAATGGAAAATTGCCAATTCACTGGTTATCAGTCAGCTGACTATCGGCTCAATTCAGTTCCAGTCCTAACACTGAGGTCAAGGTCCTGTGTTTGAATCCATCGGCCATGTAGAGCCTGCATGTTTCCCCCACCCCTGGGCACCGCGACCATCACCACAGTCCAAAGACATGCACGCTAGTTTAAGCCGTGATTATAACTTGGCTCTCCGTGTAAAAACATGAAACTATAATGAAAAATCAGTGTGCAGGTAAAATCTGGGTTAAAAAAAAAAGCTGCTTTTGCCTGGTGTGAATATTCCATGCAGTTGATAATAATGGAGATGGAGAAGCAGCAGTCAGGAGGAGTGATGGAGTGAGTGGGGGGCAGTGCTAATTGCCCTATTCAGGAGTCTGACGGCTTGTGGGTAGAAGCTATTTGTGAGGGTTTTTTGTGCTTGATTTCAGACTTGTGTAGTGCTTACCTGAGGGCAGAAGTGTGAAAAGGTTTCTCTTTGTTTGCTGCCAGGCTGTCTTGTTATCACTCATCAGTCCTTCCAGGCATTTCGTTGTGTCCTCCACACATTTTCGAGTGTTTTTTGGATTTTGCCATTTGCCTGCTTCTTGCCTTCACCTTTCTGTGTTCGACCCCAGCATTGATTAAAGATTTTATTTTGGACTTTTAACCCTGCCTCTTTGTCCAGCGCTTTTGGCCTACCTGTGACATTTTAGTGAGAGCGTTAAAAGCCAGGTCAAAAGAATCATCTATGAGGTGTTTGTTGATCAGAGTGTTGTGATTTAAGTATAAAAATATATAAATTGTTGTTGGACCCTTTAAAACTTGGCTGCCAATATTTCCTTTATGAATTTAAGCTAAAAAAAAATCAGGAAAAATGACCATTTGAAATAAATGTTTTGTCTCCTGTTTTTGTCCCAGACACGATGGAGCGGTGGTGGGGGTGGTGTTTTGCCCTAGTCTTCGTGGCAGCTCTTTGCTACAGGCCCTCCCACGGTGAGAACGCAGTGTTCTCATCCGAAACTTTGATAAACAACGTGGTGGCTGATCCCCACACGGGCCGTCTGTATGTCGGCGCCGTTAACGCAATATACCAGCTGAACTCTGACCTTAACCTCGAGTTCCAAGCCAAAACGGGCCCGAAGAAGGACAACCGGCAGTGCACGCCGCCCGTCAACGACGCCTGCGAGGAGGCCGTGGAAACCAACAACCACAACAAGCTGCTGCTGGTGCACGGGACCAAAGACGTGCTGGTGGTGTGCGGCAGCCTCTTCAGAGGCATCTGCTCGCTGCGCAACCTGAGCAAGGTGGACCACCAGCTGTACTTCAGCGACAACAAAGGGGAGAAGTCATACGTGGCGAGCGCCGAGGAGGGCGTCTCTGTGGTGGGAGTGATGTCGTATTTCACAGACGAGAAAGACAACTTGACAGTGTTTCTGGTGAGGACGGAAAAACACATTCGCGCACACAAATGGAAAGTTCAAATTATTTCCTGCAGTAAATAAAAAATAATAATTCAGATGATCTTCACCATCTGTGATACTGTGCGAGCAAACACAATAAAACTGCAATTTGTAGAGAAATTAAATTGGCAGCCATATGGGAAATGAGCTCTCTTGTCAGTTATCTTTAAGTGTTTTTCGTTTTATTTATACAGCGTCGGAGAATTGGCCTTTAAAAGATGGTTTATGATGTTATGTCTTCCACTGAGTTTTCCCCTCTATTCCAAACATGCATATAGATGCTTTTAATGGTTCTTCTAATCAAATCAAATATATTTTTCCCCTCTCGATGGCTCTGTTTGCTGGAGTGAGAGGAGAATGGGTTGTATTTCTCAGCAGAAGGATGCACTTTAAATGCATTTAGCAATATATTTTCATCCTATAAAGATGAATGTGTGGTTGATGTGCACATCCAGTGGACACAAACAAAGAAGTGCATTCAAATACTCTCCACTTGATGAATATAGGTCTGGTATTCACTTTCTTTGGCTTCTTGTTGCTCCATCCTCCTCACGAGCCAGCTGCTTGATCCATTGTTAAGGTAAATCTACTGTTAAGTGCGGGTTCTCAGAGTCACAAAGAGCAAACTGTAAGTAAAAATGCAAATAAATCAACTGCTTAATGTTTCCTGCGCCTTTTTTTTCCTTCACTGCATGAATTTATGGGCCATGTCACACCAGCATGAAGATGGTTAAAGCGAGGAGCCACGCCGATGCCTTTCTTTGATTTATGAATGTAGCATTTTTTTGTGGAATGTGAAGAAAATACATGTTTTTTGAAACTGGGCTTATTTTTCTTAAGATATTTCAGGCTCTTCACCATCTGTTCTGTAAATGGATGGTTCATTATATGTTCCAGGCATAAATCTGGATACATTAAGAAAAACGAATTTTAAAAATGAGTGGTGGGGCTGCCATGTTGGAATTTCTTAAATTCAGCAAAGTAGTGAAGTGAGATGTTTTCATACTGGCCTAGAGACTGGTTGACAACCTCCAGCTGCTAGGGAAAAATGTGTTTTCCAAAGGTTGCTGCCTGCCACTGGGTAAAATTGGTCATAAAGAGTTATACTTAGGATTGCTTTGGTTGTTAGCAGATTGCTGTGGTTGCGTGTGATTTGCATGGAAGATGCCACCATGTATGCAAACACTCGCCATTTACTCTCTGAGCTGTAGTGAAGCTTAAAATGCAAACCAGAAAGGGACAGTGTGCCAAGGTAAAAGTTGTCTTACAGCAACAGTAACACAGTTCATAACGGTTAACTTTTACTTCACAGGGGATTCTGGTGTGCATTGAATTTTTCACTGTTTTACTACTGCTTGGCGAGTAGCTGGTGAGGTTTGCAGTCCAGTCTTCCATGCCAACTTCCAGGTGTTTGGAACCAAAGTAATAACAACAGTTTTCGAACAGGACCCTGTTTATGACCAATTTTCTTGCTAGCAACCTTCAGCAACCTCTTGACTGAAAGGTCAAGACTGTTGGTTTTTGGTGGAGACTGGTCTCTAAGCCTGCATGAATGGGGCTTTAGATACTGTATCAGTGTCACCTCAAGCAACTGGTTGGGATAACTCATTTTTACTTAGCTACCAGTGGTTGCCAGGCAGTTGCCAACTGGTCTCAAGACCTATGCAACGAAACCCTAAATGAATCTGTCACCTCTTTTATCTCAGGTTGCCAAAGGGTACGGCAGCCACGACAGCACCAAGCTGATCTCCACGCGAATCCTCCAGGACCATCGCGATTGGGTGGTTTTTGACAGCATCATTGAGGCCTCTGCGGTCCAGGCGAATCCCTTCGTCCTGTTGTACCTGCACGACTTCCGCTTTGCCTTCAAAGACCGCGGCTTTGTGTACTTCCTGTTCTCCCGTACGCTCGGGGTGCAGGACACCAAGAACTTCACCTTCATCTCCAGGATGTGCGAGAACGATCACTTTTATTACTCCTACACTGAGCTACAGCTGAACTGTAGCGCTACCAACAAGTACAACAAAGTTCAGGTAATGATTGTGCACTTTGCAGACACAGAAATAAGCTGCCAGCAATTCAGTATAACTCTCAGCAGTGACTCAGAAAAACGCATTTTATGTTTGGATGAGTTTGCTTTGAATTGAATCCTTCTCAGGAGTGTCTCGGTCCTGACCTCTAAAAATTAAAAAAAAAAAACATTTAACATGGTCTTGCACTGGAAGTAGATTCCATTTATGCAGCGTTCACTTTCTCTGTATCGCAGATAAACACATATTTTTAGACAAAGCACCAAACATTCAGCATTTTTATCTTTTCCTCTTCTTCCAGGCTGCTTATGTAGCAACTCCGGGGAAAGCTTTGGCTCAGAGTATGACCAGCTCTAGCCAGTACGGAACAGTTTCAGCCTCTGACAAGGTGCTCTTTGTCACCTTTACTTCTGATGAAGACCCGTCCACTTCAGCCATGTGTGAGTGTCAGCTTGGGACTAAACTTTATAAAGATTCTTTCCAGCAGATCTTTGCAAAGTGAGACAGCACCTGAACAATACAAGCATAGCTCTGGATTTTTATTTACTATATCAGATGATCTTTATCAGCTAAAATGTTTAAAGATCAAACTACATTCTTGGCATGAAACCTTAACTGTAAGCTTTTAAAGTACTCTGACAATAACAGCTGGGCAAATTTGATTCTGTAATATAACCGATGGCTTTTACTCGATTGAACCAGAGGAATGTTTCGTGTTTAAGCCACTAAACGCCGACCTATGAGTCATTCATGCATAGAAGAGATACCAAATTCAAAGGATAAACTAGTGTTGTGTCTACGCACAACAGACAACTCTGCAAAGAAAAGGTTTTAAGTTGGAAAAAATCCTAAAGATGTAACAGTTTGACAGACATAAAGTAGTAGTTTCCCACCAACAAGCTGGTTCACATGGAGACAAAGAGGCCCTGGTATGGATTGGAGCTGCATGTCTTCCATCTTGAAGGCATCTCACTGGCACGAGCTTCATTTTTAAATTTCAAGAAAGTTTTCCTAAAAGTTCAGGCTGTGCTGATGAATAAATATATTAAAATTAAACAAACAGTGACTTTCAACTCCTTAGTATTGTATAAATGTTTTGCCATATATGCTTTACTTGTAGGTTTGCATGTTTCAATAAATCACTGCACCCGTTTCCATTTTTTTATTTTAAAAAGAAATGGGGGATGGCTCAGGACTTTTGGACAGTAATGTAGGACAGCAAAGGACAAATGTGTTACCACTAAAACAACCTATACTATGCAAGTATAGTTTAACAAACTCCTGTGTTAAAAACAGGAAGTTTTGTACAGCTACGTACTGTTTTTGGTTAAACACTGTAAAAAATCTAAGCCTGTTTAAGGGAAAAACCAGCAAATGCTATTGTTATAGTGAATTTCTTTTCTTTGTCAAGCATGAAAACTGTGGGTTTTCTTTGACATCACAGACGTGTGATGTGGTTTCCAGTATTTGTGCAGCCAACAGGTTAAGATTAAAGTTTAGCTAGCAAAAGAATTCCATGACCAAGACTTGTGTAGCCATTAATCACATCTGATATTAATCTTCTGGTGTGCGTAAAAATGTTAAATACAGCAGCATTTTGCCAAAGTGTATTTAATGACTGTTAAAGCAGCAGTTCAGATAGATGGAAGAATCTCCTTTGCTAGCATTAGCCTATCCCAGAATCCAGTTTGATACTGGGCACTGGGATAAATGAGTCCTTTTTGAAGTGGGATTAAAAATCAATTATTTTGGTCTGAGAAAAGAAACCGTAAGTGTCCTCTTCTATCACAACTTGTGAATATTAATAATGAGGTTATTGTCGACATGATGTGTTTGCTCCTGTTTGTAGGCATGTACCCTCTGAAGGCAATTAATGATAAGCTGGTGCAGATAATAGGAGCCTGTTACAGCAACAGCGGCATCATTGACCATAAACCTGCTGTTTATTCACCTTATTCCTCCAAATCTGATGAGCTGTGCCTCAGCAACAATCAGGTGAGAACATCGGTCTGTGTCAAAAATAAAGCATGGCTACAGCAGTAGATGAAAGGTTATAAAGTAATATATTTCCACTCCATTAGAATGACATGGCTCACAGGTACAAGTGTGGAGCAGAGTTCCTGCCCTCCCCACTGGCTAGTAAGGCTGAGTTCGCCCTAACAGCCGAGCCCTCGTTGACCCATAAGGCTCACTTGACCGCCGTCGCTGTGGCAGAGGAAATGGGACACGCTGTGGCGTTTGTGGGCACCGCCACTGGAGAGGTAACAAATGTTTTTCACTATCCTGTCACTTCTAGATTATTCGTTCCCTCCTCGCCTTTATTTATTCTTTTTTACGTTGTCTTTTCTTTCTTTGGTTCAGGTACATAAAACCAGTGAGTGCTATATTTTCAGTGAGGTTTTTAAAGACAGGAACGCCATTTTCTGTTTTTATTCCCTGAATGCTGGAAAATTATGTCTGACTGTAACTCTGACATTATTATGTTAAAGTTGCCATCAACTCATCCATTTTTGCCACTTTTCTGGGTTATTAGGAAAACAGTCCAAGCAGCGATGCCCAGAACCTTTGCACAGTTAAGAGACTGCTTCTCCCCAGAATGCCCTTGGTCCTCCCCAGGCTCTCAGTTAGACGTGCACAAAGCACCCCACCCTTAAGGCATTCTCATCTGGCACCTTACAGTGTTGGGGAGCAGCAGATGTACTTTCTGTGCTTTGAGTCTCATACCAAATCCCAAGAGTGCTTCCCCCTGCCTCTAAGACTTAGGCCAGACACCATTTGGGCTAAGCTCATTTTGACTGCTTGGGTTCACAGTGTTACGCTTTTGATCACCACCCATAGCTCATGGCAATAGGTAAGGGTAGGAATATAGGTAGGCCATTAAATCAACAGTTTTACCTTCATGCTGGTGGATAGCTGGATAGAGAGTAGCAAGTTAAATGGATCCAACATCTTTTTCTCTGCTGCTTATCTTGATCCGGGTCAGGGGGCAGCGGTCTAAGCAGAGAGGCCAGTTCTTCAGGGATGACACAGAGGTGTTCCCAAGCTGGCCGAGAGATCTAATTTCTCTGGAGGGTCCTGGATCTGCCCCAAGGTTTCCTCCCAATTGGATATTCCTGAAACATTTCATCTGGAAGGGATGAAGGAGGCATCCTTATCAGATGCCAGAACCATCTTAACTGACTCCTTTCAATGCAGAGGTTGAGCAGCTCTGCTCTAAACACCACCTGAACCTCTCACAGACATAATGAGTCCCTCATTATATCTGTAAGGGTGAGCCCAGACGCCCTCCAGAGGAAGCTGCTTCGACTGCTTGTATCCTCGATCCTGTTCATCCAGTCACAGCCCAGAGTTGGCAGCCATAGCTCGACCTTTCAGTCAACAGTTTTACCTTCATGCTCAGGTCCCTCTTCATCACTGTAGACTCACAGGGCAATCCATCTTCCCTCGCTTGAGGCTTGAGACGACACTCTGTGATATTATTTTGAAAAAGTGGATTGGGTGTGGGTTTTGGATGTGTTAATGCACTTTCTGTGTTTCTGCAGGTGCTGAAGGTGCATTTGTCAGCCCATCCTGAGGTGTACGGGCGAGCTGCTGGCAAAGTCTCTGGAGACAAGGTCAACAAGAACCTGCTGTTCGATTCGAGCCTCGAACACCTGTACATCACCACCGAGAAAAAGGTCAGACTCGCTCACTCCGACGTGGGGCTGATTGATTATTCATTTTTACTAAATCCATTTCTCTCTCCTTCCATTCATCCAACGCCTCTGTGTCACCTCAAACCGAAGGTCAGGGACTCTGTCGTGTGCTTACTCCTGCTTTTTTCCATTTCATCCATCAGGCCGGAGACTTAATGAGTCTTTCATTTATTCTGTCTGTCTCATTTGATCATTTATTCATCCGTTCGAATAACACCAATACATCCGTCTACATTACCACACAGAAGTCGGCCATTGATTTATTCACCCATTCCCTTTCTCCACGGCTCCCTTTGTTTTCCACTCGGCTTTTTCTCTTCATCTGTCTTTCTTTCCTTTGTCCTTTCATCTTTCGGTCGCCATCACTCTCTGCGAAGTGAAAAAGATGTTATTGATTTAGAAATGAATTAATTAGAAAGCACTTCAGGAGGGCAATTTACTTTGATCAAGTCAAGTGACGATACCCGAGCTTGTTCCATCTGCTCATTTAAATTTATTAGGCCGCCCTCTTCATGTCAGAGAGGAAAATTATTTCCACCGCTGGTTGGAAAAAGTTCTCCACTGAAATACCGTCAATGCAAGCTTTTCAATTACAAGAAAATACTGCTCAGTAAAGGAAAATCGAAAATACTAATAGGCGGTCTGTGTAAAAGATTATTTATGCTCCATGTCAAATGATCCAGATCTGTTAGAACCGTAAAACATCAGTCACATGAATCACTTGAGTGTAAGCCATTAAACCAATCCCTGAAAGTGAAGCTGTAAGAGTAAAAATTCAATCAGTCAGAAGACCTACATCCTAATTTACTAAACAGAAACAATCATAAAGGCTGATCATCAGGTGTCCTCTGGACTCTGGTGTAGGACCTGTGCCTGCTTTTCAAGCTCATGTCCCATTGTGACTCCATTAGCATTACAGCGATCGGTGGGGAATTAAATATTGACTGTGCTCTTCAGTAATTTAATTGATCGAGCCTGATGACATTTAGCCATCAGAAAATGAAAGGACATGTGTAATACTCATGGACATCCAGTGGGACAAAGCCAGAGAAGAACTTTACACTCCTGCTGAGAGTCATGAGTGAGCCAGACATGAAATTACAGACGTTAAACAAATATTGAAGGTATCTGGAGTGATATAGACTTCGGGAGGATATCATTTTCTCAAATGTCACAAATAAATGCCATAAACCTGCTTGTAAATCACTGTAAAAGGATACTTCACGGTACTTTAATTTTGCTGCTGGTGGTATTGAATTTAACTTTAAGCTGTTACATTGTTACAGTATTAATCTGTTCTAATAATATGTAAATGTATTAATTCCATAATTCAGTTTTGTAATGTTTTATGATATGTTATTAAATCCCGAGTCCTGCCTCTAAAAATGGGTGGAACATTTGTGGACTGGTTAGCACCGTCACCTCATGGCAAGATGTTTCTGGGTTCAAATCCTCGTGCTGGTCTTTCTTTGTGGACTCTTTTATTACTATTGCTCTTCCTCCTCATCATCCTTTTTCATTTGCCTCAATCTCACCAGATCCATTAACTGTACTGGTCTTAATTTGAAGATTTATTCAGTATCAGATATCATAAAGTGGAGTGATTGTTCTCATTTCAAATTCTTTATTCACTTTATTTATTCCAGATAAAGCTTTGTTAATCTTATGCTGAACCTAGCTGTGCCCCCATAGTTCATGCTTTTTTCTCAAATGGGCCATTTTAGCTCCTCGACCTCAAAGCCATAGTCTTTCTGATTGGCTGCCTCTTGTGAGCAGAAGTTATGAGCTATAGGTGAGTGCTCAAAGTCAGATTTAAGTGCATTATAAGACCATATTAGGAATATCCACTCTCAATAACAACAACAAGAGCCGAGAATAGACAGAAAGTATCTGAATCAGACTGTTTACAGTCTGAAGCTTGAAAATTTGGCTCACATGGAGTGCTTGCACATATGCTGACCTCATTAATAGATCTAAGTTTCCCAAAATGTAAACACATAACTGCTAAAAGGAGACTCAAATGTATTTCTCACCAGAAGAGCACGGAGCATTTCTCGGGCTCTTGCTCCCCCCCGTTGCCAGTGTTAAATTGGCGCGTATGTTTTAAACTTTTATAAAGATGCCCCATCTCACAGGTTTTAAATAAGAGCACAAGTTAGCTCACAAAAACACGAGGCAATCAGTGCTGTAGAAGTAACTGAAATGGGGTTTATGAAATGATGCTCATTAACTGCTAAGTGATAATCATAGTGTGTACACTCCAAGCTGAGCTAATATCAGATTTATTTTTACCATCATTTGAAAATATTTTTCCCTGGTTGATAGTTGTGTTTTTGTTTTGTTTAGTTCTTATCAGATTTCTCCTCTTCCCTCATCTCCTGTATGTTGTTTAATAGAACGGAACTTTCACAATAAAAGCCTGTCACATGTGTGCAGATCACCAAGGTTCCAGTCCAAGCCTGCCAGCAGGAGACGAGCTGCCACTCCTGCATCGGTTTGAAGGACCCGTACTGTGGCTGGTGTGTCCTGGAGGGAAAGTGAGTCGCACATGAGCAGCTTGTAGACCAGCTACCCCCCCCAAAAAACGAGTGTAGAAAACAAACAAACAAGCATACTAGTTATGGTGCCTTAAGGTTTGAAGAACAAAGGCTGTGTCAGTGCTAGCCACCTCCATCGGTTTGTTTGTGCACATTTATGTAAAGCTAACTCTGTATGACTCAGGAAACACCAGCTTAATATTACCACCTTATAAAGCCAAGCTCATATTCATTTTTTCACTTGTTCTTTCTTTAACATCTGCTCGGTTCACAGGTGCACCAGGAAGCAGGACTGCGGTAGGTCATCAGAGCTGAACACCTGGCTGTGGTCACCAGATGGAAAGTGTGTGCAGATCCAGGGTTTCAACCCGCCGAACCTCAGCTGCAAGAAGACAGACCAGGTATGAGGGAGCTATACAAGAGCATGCATATTGCTGTGAATCTTTTCCTCTGTGTGCTGGAACCCCCCTGAGCTAAGATCAGTTCTTGCTGAGCTCTGCTTAATTTAAACCACTCAAAGCTGAAACTCTGGCAGAGGTGGAGGGCTCTTTGTCTGTTCTGTCAGCAGCATTTCAAACTTCTTTCTAACCTCTGGTACATGGATCTTCAGGGCCCCTCAGGGGAGCTACAGAGAGATAAAGACATTTTTTGATCCACAGCAACATTATAATTTACAATTCCTCTATGCGAGCCAGATGTATATTGCGTCGTTGTTTGTGCTGACAGCTCCTTTGAAAACAGCTCTGTACTTTTCAGGCTGATGAAACTCAGAAAGTGAAAAATGTGCTTCTTGGAAATGTTGCATCACACCCAGAAACTGCTGATGGTGTCTAGTTTCGGAAAATCATGTTGGAGCAGCACCAACAGCGACACAGATTGATCTATGATAAGATCAGCCAACGCGGTTTGTTGCGGTTAACCATCCTAAAAACATTTCCATGTTACCGTAATAAGCTGTGGATTCTTTTTTTTCTTGTTGTAACTTGCTGTCAATTAATTCTGTCCGCTAATCTTCCAGCCTCATGTTCGCTCATGCCAAATATTCAAGTTTATGGTTACAAAAAGGTTCACATAGCAGGAGTGGCTGATTTGTACCCTCAATTTTAAAATTCCGATTTTGAGCACATAAAAACAAATGTGATATAGTGAGTCAGTCGCAGTTTATTTGACATTAAACGTCTGGAACTAGTTTTACTAATAAAGTAAATACATCGATGGTTCCAGAACAACGTATACTCCCCCGACCAGTTGGCGAGAGATTGCTGGGTTTTGCTTGCTGAGGCTAGGTGATTGCTTTAGCCACTAGCAGATTGTCACAGTTGCCCGTAGTTTCCATGGTAGATGCCTACTTGTCTGCAAACACTTGCCAGCTAGTTCCTAAGGTCTCCATTTCTGTTTTTTGTTGCACTTTTTCAGATTTCATTCTGTACTCTTATTTGATAATTTGATACTGACAGACACTCTGAAAGACTGTGCTCAATTAGCAAGTGTTTGCAGACAAGTCGGTGTCATCCATACAAACTACAGGTGACTGTGGTAGTCTGCTAGCAGTCAAGCACAAGGGGTTTTTGGTGCAGCACCCTCTTTGCAACCAACTTCACCTAACAACAGCCAGCGACTTCCAAAAACCACTTGGCAACCCATTGGGAATATACATTTTTCCCTAGCAACCAAAGGCAGCCAAGGGGACTGAGGCCTTAGCTGGCATTGTCCTTACCATCAGTGAGGATACATATCGTCTTCTTATGGATTCTATCATCAGATCCCAATTTCACAGTCTTTTGTCAGTATGGTTAAAGTGTTCAACAGCAATCATAAAGTATACCATCTTTAGTTTTCCTCCCACATAATAGGAATATAGCATTAGTATCACATTTTGTTTTGTTTTTTGTTTTTTTTATCAGTAAACAGCAGGTCAACAAAAAAATATTGACTTTGAAAGTCACATTTATCTGAATACTCTAATACAGAAAACTTATAACATTAATGGTGTTATGTTGAATAAATTCTTAACTCATTGAGCGGTTAATGTTAGTCTGAACTGACCAGGCTTCCACACAGTGGTAAAAATGTTGTGGCTGTTTAACCTGTTAATGCATAAAGTTAGGTAATAATGGCTTTTGTAAGTAATGCTCAGCTGTAATTGCAGGGGATCAGCTGCTATTAGCAGCTTTCATTAGAAGAGACAAACACACAGTTCCAGTCTGGTCCTTAGCCACCGCAAGCATGTATTGTTTCAGTAGTGCATTGTTAGAGGGTGTATGCAAGGATGTCTATATACGTGCATTTACAAACACTTTACTGTGTGTACCCGCTACAGCATAGTGGTAGACATGGATTTACTGCAGACACAGAAAGTGTCCTCGAAGCAAACTTCAAATGGAAGTAGTAGCAGTATAAAAACGAATAGGAGGGTTTTTACTCTCAGACTGATACTTTTGCTCGTGTTTTAGATTTTAAAGATAAAAATTAGTTTCAAACAGGAGACGCCAACATCTAAACCCTTTAATAACATGGTACGAACTCGTAGCTCCTACGTGGCATTTTTAAAACGCCTAAAACTTAAAAGTTTCTGTCTTTGAGTAAGTGTTGTCATTATGTACCAGCCGCCTTAATAAAACTTTATCTTGTACTTTCAAGGAGGCAAAAATGATCCTGGCCAACAGCATTAAAGTAACACTGAGCAGCTAATTTATGTAACGCTATAAAATTCAAAATCGAAATGCTGTAGCAGCAATTTTACGGAGTACACCAAACACCAGCAGAGAATGCTGCGCTGCGTCAATACATCTTAACATGACGGCTTCACTCTCTGAATTAATGAGGGATTGATCAAAGAGCTGATCTGCTAGAAAGACGCGTCGTCCTTCAACGCGTGCAGCACCACGCTGTCCACCGGCGTCGTCCCCACATCGTGATATTTCTACTCCAAACCTCAGGTGTTATCCAGCAGACGCAGACGGCTTGCATAAAATCTAGTTCATTATGCATTCTTAGGGACTAAAATTCAGCTCCAAGAGTTTCAGCAGTCGCAAGTTTAAATGACAGGAAACGACTGAAGTTGCTGTGAGGGTAAAAATGTTTTGTATGTAGATTATAACATTGGTGATTGTTTATTTTGGCACCATAGTCCTCACTGTTCTCATCAGATGTGATGAGACGACAAAACAACATTATGGCTGCGTGATAATGCAATCAGGTGAGGCTATGATAAACGCTATGCAAATACGAGTAGGTGGCAGTCGTAAATACAGAAACTTTCAAACCAGTTTTTAGATTTGTCTATTTGTTTGTTTGAGGCAAAGTTACAAGTTAATCAAGATAAGTCCAAAGTATAAAAGCAGATGTTGTCCTTCAGGGCAGCGGGAGAGTTAAAAGTCTTAAAGTATTAAATGTACCAAGTTTTTTCTTTTTAAGCTGTTTGATCTTTTTTGTATTATTTATCATGGAGCTCTGCAGTCCTGTGAAAAGCTAAGGACCCTCCATGAGTAGCGGTAGCGTAATAGAGCTACCTTTAACAGCAATAACTTGAAGCAGTGGTTTTCTGTGTGACTTTATGAGTTTATCACATCATAGCGGAGGAATTTTGGCCAGCTCCCCCTTTCAGCATTGCTTTAGTTCATTAAGATTTGTGGGCATTTGTTATTCGCAGCTTTCTTAACATCAGCATCATCGTGCTGACAGCTGGTATGAGGCATTTGTGCTAATATGTTGTGTTTAGTTTTCTCCCAGCATTGTGCTGTCCATTATGGCCAAACCTTTGCCTTCCAAACAAGCCATACTTGTTGAGTCTTTTTATAATTTTAACTAATGATCTGTAATGTTTAACATCTGAAGCCTGTAGAGTCTGAGAGGGAGCTCAGCAAATGACAAAACCTACAAAAGATTCGCAGCACCCGATGGTGCTCATCCTCATAATTTCTGTGAAAGCAGTAAGGGTGTACTTTTCTCACAAGTCCTTGAAACTTTCTTTATAACAGGGGTACAAACAGAACAAATCTTCAACCTATAGTAACTAACTCAAGAAAGACAGGACACAAGCAATTTAACTGAGGAAGTTGTGTAGCTAAAAAGTAACCCCTCCCAAAAAGAGTTAAACAAAAGTTAAACCCAGTCTTGTCAGCGCCTAATTAATACGAGCGCCACACTTCAAACTATGTTTATATTCATCTGATTTCCTTTGTTGAATATGTTTTGGGGGGGAAGTAATTGCTGCCCTGATTGTGTTCATTGGCAACATTTGCTCCAATCAAGGATGTGCGACATCTTTATACTGCAAACAAATCACAGGAAGGAGGTTAGACTAGGGAGCGAAACACATCACGGTAAGCTCCTGCTTCATGTGTCTTAAGGCTTACTTAAATGCCCCTTCTGACTTAGATGCTATAAGAAGGTTGGGGTTTTAAGTATTACAGTTAAGGCCTTTTTAGAAATAGTCAATTTTGGGATTATCAAACCAGCAAAGGTGATTATGGAGCAAGAAGATGATGGCGCAATAACAGTTTGAGCTTCCTAAACATGTGTTTCTACTCTAAGCTGTTATCTTTTTCTGTTTTTCAGGTCTGTAATTTTTTTCATTAAGTATTAAGTCTTTGGAGAGTTAGGTCTGCAGTCAAGTTCAGGTCACGTCTGCAGCCCTGCCTGTATCTGATTTTAATTAATTATGTGCTTCAGATAGCGCTGCTGTAATCTCGTAAAGTCGCACATACAATCAGAAACTCTGATCTGCAAATTGAAAAGGTGTCAAACGTTGCTCTTTGCTTCAGTATTTTAATTTGAACGTCAGAATCCTTTTGAGGTGACGTGAGTTTCTGGTGGAAAGGAGCTGAGCTCATATTCCTCTGATCAGAAGACTCTGTTTGCCGGGGTTTAACATACAATCTTCTGAGACCAGACAGATAAATCTGTTGCATCTTAATTGGGAAATTTGGTGCCATCGCCTCCGTTGCAGCCCCTAGTTTGTGATTTGAACCTGATAAGACAATTGGATTTTAGCTTTAAAAGAAGGAAAAACTTTCTTCTCGAGGTTTTACATACTTAAAAAGAAGAAAGCGTCCCAGGTGACTTCGTCCAGGGGCTTCTCTGGTCCGATAGTTTCGCTAAGATCAAAAACTTTGAAATTAAAACTTCAGCAGCAAAATTTAAATCTGTTGAGGTCAGCACAGAGTAATGAGGAGCTGATGTTTGAACAGTGCCAATGAATAGCAATTATCACCGCAACTCTCACACACAAAAACTCACATGTGTATGCACAGAGAGTCAGACACGTCACGGTCTCTTATTCTCTTTCTCAGTGTGGAAGAGAATAAGACAAAAAATATACCCAAACATTGTTGCAGTCACATACCCGCTGAGCTAATTGCGCTGTACTGAATGAAATTATTATTGAAATATTAATTAGAAAAAAATATTTAATTAAGAGGATGGGAGTGCATAGTAAGGACAAGACTGCACAGTATTGGAGAAACCCAACGATCCGTTTGAGCAAGCACTTGACAACAGTGGGGAGGAAGAACCCCCTTTTAACAGGAAGAAACTTCCAGCACAACCAGAATCTCGAGGTTAGGTGTCTGTTGAGATGGACTTAGGCTAATCAGATGGGCACAAACACAAATTCAGCTGAATGGCAGAGTTTCTGCTGGTGTTACTGGGATGTAACAAACACCTCACAGCTGTATGGGACCAGTAAGCAGCTCCAGAGACCTGCCAAGGGTGCCTACAAAAGCATACAGGGCCCAATCTACAGCAGAGAGTAGTAAATGGGTAATTATGGAATATAAATGGTAACATGGTTAACACACACATGACTTACAGGTGAAAGTTTCCCTCTTTGAAACCCGGACTTTAAGGGTCACAAGCTGGTGTTCTCTCAGAACAGGTACCAAACCTGGATAAATGGGAGGGCTGCATCTGGTGTAGAATTTGTGCCAAATCAAATCCTGTGTGGCAACACTTTGGTAAATGAAGGAAGAGCTGAAAGTGCCTTTAGTGGTATGTAAAAGCATGGATAAATGAAAGGGTGAAGTCCATGATGCCCTGAGGCTATAGCAGCATCCCAAAGAGGTGGAAAAGCACTGTTTGAAGCCACGAGTTTGTCACCTGAACACAAACTGGCAGTAGATGGATGTTTATGAAGACTGACATGAGAGTGAGAGTGACGTGCTCCGTCTAGCTGGGATAATATGATAAGATCAGCTCTTTACAGTTTGGCAGGGAAAACGATTTGAAATACAACACTGGGCTTAACAGGAAGACAATGAAGAGAAGCTAATATGGGAGAAATAGACTCTCTCTTTTCCTGTTTGCAGTCCTGCTGCAGTGTTTTGGATACACTGAAGGCTTTAAGAACAACCTGATAATAAGGAATTACAAGCTTAGAATGTGTCTTGATGCATTCTCAATCATCCAGGTAAGGAAATCCCCAAAAAGTTGATTCTGTTCATCTGGACGTAGCGATTTCTGTGGGAAAAACATTTAGTCACTAATCCAAGAGACTTCATCAGTGTCAGTCTCTCTCAGACCATATTAATGCTGGAGGTCATCCAGAATGAGTCCCTGTTATAAGTTTCTGAGGATTTCATGACCAAATATAGAAAAACCTGGATTTCAAAGTATGAAATTACAGTTCAAGGTCTTTAAGTCTTTGAGACACTATAAGAGAGAGGTGTGGCACTTAAAGAATCCTGAGTTGAACTCTTCCATGGAGTTGAGTATCCAGCCAAGTGTAATTAATGGCCCTGACCAGGTCCTGGTCGCAAGGGCAGCAGCGGTCTCCTCCACCACTTCATTTGTGGAGGCTATACTGAAATTTTAAAGCAAGCAAAGAGACTTCATCCCTCCAGAGTCTCCTTCCTGGCTCTGCCCTGGTTGGACTTCCTTTCCTTTGGATGAAGCTCATTTCAGCCTCTTGCATCCACCATCTTACTCTTTCAGTAGCTACCCGTAGCTCATAGCCTTAGGTGGGATTAGGAACGCAGATCCAGAAGTAATCAGCGACTGCAGACGCTGCCCTCCTGTGGGCTCACCACGCGCAGCAGGAGCTGTAGGGCTCTGGTGCTTTGCAGATCAGAGGGGCAGCCCCGGGTGGTCTCCGGGTTACCAAACTGTTGCTGTGTTGTGCATGTTTTTCTTAGTTGTTGAGCAGCAGTGCATCTCTGAACCGGATTATCTTTACCATCATATTAATCTGTCTGCTCAATGTGTTCAATGTCGATTAGCCAAACTAACAAAAATAAATATTACGACTGGGTTTGTTTGTTTGTTGTTGTTGTTTTTTTTTTAATAAAACAGGTGAATGTCCAGGTGTAATAAAAATATGACAACAATATTACAATGTCATGTATAACTTTATAAAAATGCATTGCCACCATTTCCTAGAGGAGAAACTTAAAAAGATATAAGACTTAGTGTTACTTCTGCAAGCGCTGCTGTTAATAATACAGTGAATTCATCAGGTCAGTCCTCTGCGTGATGATGCCTGAAACTGCCTCAAACCTTTGCACAGTGCATGCATACTGCGGCTCCTATCTTAATTACTCTGTCACACCCCGTCTTATTCTGTAATTCATACTCGTACACAGAAAGCACACTCCCTTTTCTCTGTCTACCAGTGGCTCACACCTCTCGTGTTTCTTTATCTCCCCGTAGCCAGTTGAGGTGTGAGGTGAAATATAATTACTTCTCTGCTTTCATTTTCCTTCTCGGGTTCATCTCTAACTCTCCTCTCTCTTTCTCCCTTATTGTGCCTCATAACTCCTTTAATTTGTGCACTCTGTCTCCAGGTGGACATCAGCATACCTGCTCTCCCCGCACTGAGGCCGTCTGATGACTTGCAGTGCGTTTTTGGCTCTTTCTTTACTGGAGCCGTGAAACATGGCGGGCAGGTTACTTGTTCGCTGCCCGACCCTGTGGAAATCCCAGCCACTCCTGACCAGCAGGGTATGTGAACAGATGAAGGATGCACAGATAGTTTGTTTTCAGTATATGGACTTTGGATTGGATTGGATTGGACTGTCACTCAATTACACATCATAAAAACACATATAAGCATAAACTAGAATCCACAATCATGTTAATATCCTAAAAGAACCCGTTGAGAATGTGGAAAAGCTAAGGTATTACCTTGGTTAGAAAGCGGCATGTGTAAAGTGAACAGACACACTGATATCTGCTAATTAGTGCTAAGTTTGAGTCATTGCATCATTTACTCAAGCTATCCAAAGCTGGATCATGATCCAGGTCCACAAACATAGAACATGCTCTCCAACTCCTCCTGTTATTTAATTAGATTTGGGAATATTCATTCATATTTTGAGCTGGACTGTTATCTTTATTCTCCGGTTTGATGTATTTTTCTTATTGTTTTTCTTCTTTTTTTTATTTGGCTCGTCTTAAATCCTAATAGCACACTGTGTATCTCCTTTTCTATTACCTACCGTTTGTTTACATCTCATACTCATGCATTTTAATGACTTTGAACTGCCTTGTTGATGAAAGGTGCAGTGTAAATGTATTTGGCTTCCTCTCAGCGAGACTGGAGCTACCTCAACCTAACTATTTTAAAATCCTATTGTGTTTTTACTCAGGTGTACAATAAGTTTTGTCTGTTTTTATATTAAAAAGAGGGTAACTGTGTAACTGTTATCAGCTGTGTGCTCCAGGAGCAAGAAAGTGAGCTGTGTTTTAAAAAACCTTTAAATATTAAATGTAGGTGTTGCAGTTTGCCCTTTTAAAAGACATTGCCTCCTAACATTGACCCTTATTTTGTGCCACGTATTAGTGGTAACCTGGTTAAGGTTATTAGGCCATTTATTAATGTAGTATAACAGAAATAAATGGAGAAATAATTAACAGGAAAAAAAGTGTATTAACATTAAAGCCAATGTTTTTACATTTTGTATCAAAATACAACAAATTGGTGAATACAGTGCTAGTGTAATTTTTTTATTGCACACTCTTGAAATGTGAAGAATGTAAAGATATAAATATTAGCATATGCTACTCTCACATGTGTATAATAAAACAACGTCTGATATATAAACTGATAAACACCTTGTTTCAGAGTTGATAGGCGCTGGAATTTTATTACTGTTGACCAAAGTTAGTCATATCCTGCCTCCTCCCTCCTTTAGCTTTGCAGTCTTGATGCTAAGCTAAGTTAGCCGGCTGTTAGTGGTTGCATCATGGAAACTTACTTTGTTTGACTCGGTAAATTCCTCCTTTAACAGTTAATAGGAAAAACAACACCAACAAAACCTTGATTTTAGTGTGTGTGTGTGTGTGTGTGTGTGTGTGTGTGTGTGTGTGTGTGTGTGTGTGTGTGTGTGTAGACTTTGTGTCAGTTCCCATGAGGATTGTGGTGAATTCAATCGAGGTGACGTCAGGAAAGTATGACTTCTACAACTGTGCTGCCACCGTCAGGAAGAACCAAAATACACCGTAAGATGGATAATCTAACCTCCCCTCCCCCATATATACGTGCGTGTATACCGAAAAAGTATACACGCATGTATATATGTGTGTATCACACGTCCGCTTTACATACTTAAAGCAGACGTGTGATGGCACGCACTTCTCGTTGTTTTCAGGTGTATAGCGTGTGTGACCAGTAAGTGGGGCTGTCAGTGGGACGCTCAGACTCACAGCTGCAGTGACGACGACCATAATGTGAATGGAGATTACATAATCAAACCCCAACAGGTAATAAAATAATAATCTGCAGCTTTTGCCTTTTAGAACTGCTTTAATTCTTCAAGCACAGATTCATCAAGGAGCTAGAAACACTCCTCAGAGAGAGTTTGAGGTGATCTGAGTTTTGTGACATGGTACATAGAAGCAGCCTTTAGTAGATGGCGTGCACATGTCCGTCCACCTGAAGGGACAGACAGGGTAGGTTGTGGTGTTTAGATGATGCTTAGTTGGTAATAAAGGGGCCCAAAGTGTACCAAGCAAATACTATCACACCACCTGCAGCCTGAACAGTTAATACAAGCCAGGATGGAGCAGTGCTCTCGTGTTACCCTGCTGTCTGAATTGAGATCGATAAGACCAGGCAACGTTTTCCCAGACTTCTGTTGTACAATTTTGGTGAGCATGTGTAAACTGTAGCCTCAGTTTCTTGTTCTTAGCTAACAGATTGGAAAGCAGTGTGGTCTTCTGCAGCTGCAGGCCATCATCTTCATGGTTCAATGTGTTGTGCATTCAGAGATGCTCTTCTGCGTACCTTGGTTGTAACAAGTGGTCAGTTGAGCACTTTTGCCTTTCCTATCAGCACGAGGCAGTCTGGCCATTCTCCTCAACATGGACTTTTCCTCTTAAAGAGGAAAAGCCGCTCACTGGATAACTTCTCTTTTTTGGATCATTCTCTCTAAACTCCAGAGGTGGTTGTGTGGGAAAATCCCAGCAGGTGTACTCAGTTTTACCACTATAATTAGCTGATAGGATATTTGCTCTAACTTGCATATGAAGTCTACCTAGTAATGGGGACGAAAGAGTATGGAGTGGCCGAAGCTCATCATTAACATCAAATATTAACAAGGAAATTGAATGTTTTCTCTGTTTATTTTGATGAGTTGTTAAGTGTCTGAAGTGTTTCACAGTGAGCTATGATGATTTGATTCGAGGATGGATAATTCACAGCATTGCCTGAAGTGTTTTGTTTCCCCATGAGTACTTACATTGTATTTGAAGGTGTGAACTGTGCTGTTAGCTGTTGAGCTTAATACTTCTGCTCCTGCTTCTCTTTCTGTGATGTAGTCCGACAGTTGTCCTCAGTTTGAGTCTCCGGAGCCGGCGTTGATCCCTGTGGGCTACCAGATCCCCATCAGCTTCCAGGGAAGAAACCTGGACAGCTACATGGTGAGATCAGTCAGAGCTGCTGACTTACTGCTTCATAAACATCCAAATATTGTCGTCAACATCATCTGTGTGATCATTTCTCTCAATTTTGTGTGTGTGTGTGTGTGTGTGTGTGTGTGTGTGTGTGTGTGTGTGTGTGTGTGTGTGTGTGTGTGTGTGTGTGTGTGTCTGTCTCCAGGACCGGACATTTTTGATCGGGACTGAGCTGATGAAGCACAGCGAGCAGGATGTGGCAAAGGAGGAGGAGACATCAAAGTTCAGATTCAGAGGATATAAGGTCAGTATAACGAGGAGGAAGAGGGGACAACCTTGTTAAAATTTGTGATAAAGATTAAATACTTTGAGCTCAAAAAAGACAAATATTCTGGTTTCAGTGCAGATTTTCATACTTAAAGCAGACCTGTTAACTCATGTTCATGTTAAACAAGACCAAGGTTTTCAGTTCAGTTCAATTCAGTTTTATTTAAATAGTGCCATATTACAGCACTCATCTCCTCTGAGTGCTTTGTATTGTAAGATGAAGACCCCTAGCATATCTTAACACATATAATAATAATAATGAGAAATCCCCAACAACCAGACGACCCCCTGAGCGCAAGCACTTGGTGATAGTGGGAAGGAAAAACTCCCTTTTAACAGGAGGATGCCTCCAGTAGAACCAGGCTCAGGGAATGGCAGTCATCGTGACAAGTTGGGGGTCATAATGAGGTCAGTGTATGTGCAAGTAATCTCTGTGATCCAATCACAGACTTCAGACCGCTCCATCCAATGTGGTCATCTCAGACACACAGCTGTGAATGTAAGCACACAAAGTCATCTAATTAGAGTAAATGTGACGTTATAGGTTGTCAGAGTTTTCATCAGGGTTTCTTTATCACTGAAACTACCAGTTGAAGGCGAATTGAAGGTTTGTGACATGTCACCTCTTATCCCGAAGACTTCTTCAGTTCTAAAAGGTTACCAGATGTTGAACCCCTAGTCAGGCTGTCACCTCAGAGGAGGTCCTGAGACTCATTGACCCACCCTGTCCTCATTTGAGTCTGAGCATCTGAATCTCAAGGGGTGTCAAGGTGGCTGATAGTTGGTGTAATAGGCCATTACGGTTCTCTGATGGTCGGTCCACGTCGACGTAGATGGCCTCTTTTACTCATGAAGACTGCTCTTGGGTGGAAAGTGAAACATCTGAAAGAAGACTTGGATGAACATGCACAGACACTGATCTGTGCTTAAGCCGTAATACGAGCTGGTTTGATTCTCTGAACACTAAGGACAGGTGCCTCAGGGCTTCCTTTATTTACCTCCTTTAGCACAGGATACACTGAAGGATCCTCCCTGAAAGAAAAGGAGAAGATGGCATCCCACGATTCAAAGGAACGCTCCATCAGGAGGTCAGCATGACTGAACAGAGATCATCACTGCTAACATGCAGATATGCTAAGATTAGTTAATCATACAGCAGTGCTACTTTTGGAGTGGAGTGAATGTTGCAGTGTAACTCGGGTTGCACTGACGCTGTCCTCGTTTTGGCGTGCTGTATTTCCAGCTTTCAGGATTATCTTTAATTAAATTTGACTTCAGAGATGCGGAAAGCTTTAATAAAGGAAGAGTTAAAGTGGATCAAGAGAACATGTTGAGCGGAGAGCAGGGTGAACAGCATTTCTTAATGCAGCCATGTCATTTCACCCTCGTGACTGCAAAGCTCTGTTCTGTTTTTAACCTTAGTTGACATAGTGATATTTTCCACCCGCTTGTCTGTATTTATAACATTTACAGCACAAAACATTAGGCAGCAACACTCAGCATCATTTCCTGAAGAAATGTGACTAGAAAAAGACAGAAGGTCGGCAACAAGGTGCATTTTTTAGAAATATGAATCACATAAATTCACACAGGTAGAGTCCCTGAATAAAAATGTAGAACTGGAAATAATCCTGGGTGCAGACATTTGACAGGACCTCTGTCAGGATGTGCTGGATTCTTCAGATCTGCTAGTTTTTTAGGCCTGCCACTGTCCTCCACTTGTCCACTCTCCTCAGAAATTTTCGCCTAATTATTTTAGACAGGCTGCATGAGTTGGGTAAATTTTTAATGCTTGAGTGATTGACAGGTCACTGCAAAGAGGCTTAACAAACCAAAATATTCCTCTGAAAATGGTCAAGTACAAGGACCGGATTAATAATGAGTAAAAAAGCAGCCAATGTCTAAATGACCCTTAGAAAGCATGGGGAACTATTGGACCACTTCAGAACATTCCAAGAAAGGTCTGACTTCTTACAAGTCGAAGGTCGTAGGTTAAGACTTTTGCACAGTGCTGTAAATAATCCAAATACTTAGTAAAGTCTCTACTATGAAACCACTGAAAGCCTTTAAAAAGGGCACGGGAATAAAAGCTAAAAAGGAGTGTTGAACAGGAAAGAATCAGCTGACAAGATAAAAACAGAACGCAGTCTCTGAATGTGAACAGTAATGCTGCTTTTTCTGTGTCTTTACTAACGTACACAAATTAAAACCCACTTAAAAAAAAACCCCCACTCTGATTCCTGTGCTGCGTCCATTAGCAGCCTCCAGAAAGAATGAAATCTCTCTCCGCTTCTCGGCTTTCTGTTTATGTTTTCAAGCTCGCCGTCGCTGCCGAAAGCTATAGAAAAATCAGGGAGTGCATCATTAATGATAATTAGACAATTAGTGCATCGTTAGCAGTTAATTTGTGAGTAAATGAACATGATTGGGAGTCAGAAAGTGTTTCGAGCGCAGCTCTAAGTTCATTGCTTCTGAAATCTTGTGCTTGTGTTTAGTTTTATGTGTTTCGTCAGCTGTTTTCAGTTTTGTTGAGCACACACTGATTGTGCTGTCAAACGGATGTGTGCAATGGCGCCCCCTTATGGACTATAGAGATGGATAATTATTTTCCCTGATTCACTGAACCGCAGGTGTGTGCGTGTGTGTTTGTTTCAGTGACGTTTTGCTCGCATCCCTCTCGTACACCCCCCAGTTTTTCCTCTTTTCTGCCTCCATTGATCCTTGCCTCACGCTGAGTCCAAGTCTGCCAATATGCAGTTAAAGAGTGTGTGTGTCTGTGTGGGGGTGTGCTTTCATGTTTGTGTGTCACTGCAGGTTTTCCTCTCATTATCTCTGGTATTTGTCTCTACATGATACTTTTTTTTTTCCTCTTCTTTTAGTTTTTTCCCCACTTTTTTTTTTTCACATATCCTGAAGAAAACTTGTCTTGTTCTTGTGTGTGTGTCTGTCGTGTGTGTGTGTGTGTTCTGTGTGTGTGTGTGTTGTGTGTGTGTGTGTGTGTGTGTGTGTGTGTGTGTGTGTGTGTGTGTGGTGTGTGTGTGCGTGTGTTCAAAGCTGAGCTATAAACTGTGAGTGCTTTTGCTTTTTTCATTGTGTGTGCTGACCTTCACAGTTGGATAGAGGCGAGGTAATTTAGTGTGGAGTTCCAAAATAGGGAGGAAGGTTTTGTTGTTCTGTGTTAATGCAGACCTGAGGGGAAGTGTGTGTGTGTGTGCGTGTGTGTCTAATTGTGTTACTTGTGTTGTGGGGACATGCATTTAAAAAAAAGAGCATAAGGGGGATTCACATCAGCACACAAGGTGTCGATGTAAAGGTGTCGGGCTCCAGTCACTCATGCTGTAGTCTTTCATTTAATCTCTGTTCCCTGAGTTTAACATGTAGGCAGCACCGTCTTCCTGGTGTTATAAGTAACCTGATCAAACCGCATTGAGGACAAACTCTGGGAACAATTGCCTGACAGTTTGTCATTTAAGGACTTGTAGGCGTCACGTAAATATAAAACTTCGCCGCCTTCTGTAAAGCGGTACTAAAGTGTTCTGCATGGTAGTGGAAGTGGAAGCTCCAGGAGATGATGCAATGGACATAACATTGGATAACAGTGTCACACTGCTTTTTGCATAATGTCAGTGGGGAATTTTGATAAGTGGTGAAGAAAGCACTTACTGTGCAATACAAAAGTGTTCCTTTGTACGTGAGTTTTTCATTTTAAATGTCAGCAAAATGTCTTTAAAATGTCTCTTAAATCAGACTCTTGTCTGTTAGTGCTGTGCTGTGTTTCCTATGTTATTAAAGCAGATGTGGAATCAGACTATATCAGAGATGGATGTAGCTGCCAGGCCTGAAAAATGAAACAACTGGACCAGTATCTTGAGCCTGCATTCTTTCTAACAGCCAGCAGGAGGCGACTGCTCTGCTCTTTGGTTGTACGGCAGTGTGAGAGAAAAGAACTGAATATCTTGGACCCCAATAAACATCATGTGTCATTGTGTTTATTTCATAAATTATTATCCATATATTTTGAATAAAACAGGAAACAGGGCACAGTGCTGTGCAGAAGTCTTAGGCACCCGTCATTTCTTTATATTGTTATTTCAAGGAGCCAGTTTTTCTTGATTCTTGAAGTTGTCTCGAGCATTAGTTTTCCAGGCTTTTTGAAGGGTGCTGGCTGCTTTTTCACTCATTTTTAGTCCAGTAATTGTACCTGCTGCTAGTAACAATCATTTCTTCCTATTTCTTTAGTTGAATTTATGAAAAATGCCAAAGATAACAGTTTATTAGATACATATTTATATTTCTGCACCAACTTCCCAAAGAACTGGTGAAGCAGAAGCTTTCTACATCAGATGAATCGTATCTGAAAGACATGTTCTTTAGAAACTGGTGAGAAAAAATCACGCAGTCCTGACAGGGCCTGAGAGAAACATCTGGACCTTCAGATGATCCATATGTTGTTCATTGAAGCCTCATCAGAATGGTCTCAGTGCAAGAGCGGTTGTAGATGTGAAACAAGAAGAAAAGGCTGAGGTATGCCAGATCACACAAAAAATAATCAACAGAAATTTTATATTTTTTGTTAGAGGGTCAGGAGAGAGGTACAACAGTGAGCTTCTTCAGTAAAACACAGTGGAGGTTCTGTTGTGGTTTGGGGCTTTATTTTAGCCAGTGGTGTTGGGGATCTTGTCAAAATTGATGGTGTTATGAACACAGAAATGCACCATCAGATTTTGCAACATACCGATGATCCCAAACACACTGCTGATGCAGAGAAAGCTTACCTGGGTAGCTAACACACAGTGGAACACTTTGAGTCATGGCTTGGCCTCAATATTATTGAAGCTGTGTGTGTGTGTGTGTGTGTGTGTGTGTGGTGGTGTGTGTGTGTGTGTGTGTGTGTGTGTGTGTGTGTGTGTGTGTGTGTGTGTGTGTGTGTGGTGTGTGTGTGGTGAGAGAGAGATCATCCTAAAAAAAAAAAAAAAACAGAACAAAAGGCAGAAACAACCAAAGAAGAGCTTTGAATGTCCTTCAGGAAGCCTGTTGAACTATTCCTGAAAACTATTTAAAAACAAATTGCAGAAAGCCGCCTGACAGAGTTCAGACTGTGCTGCAGAATAAAGGTGGTCCCACCAAATATTGACTATTAAACTTGTTAGAATTGTGTAAACTCTGTTTTATTTGCATGTTTCAATAAATCGCTCCACCCGTGTCCCATTTTTCTAGCAACATGTAAAGAAATGAAGGGAGGCTCAGGACTTCTGCACAGCACTGTACTGTATATTTTAGGGTTTGGCTAGCTTGTAATTGACAAGCTGCGAATGTATGAGCCAGGTTCAAAATCAAAGAGGGTAACAACCAAATTGGCTTCGAAACTCTCCACAAACCAAATGTAGAACGTCGCCGTGGTATCCAAGTCCATCCTTTATATACTCAGTCCATGAGGTAGTTGTATTAGGTTAAAGCTGCAGTGTATGTCCTTCCAAGACACAACCACCACAACACCACTGGGACTTTAGATTCTCTTAATATAAGTCATTAATTTTTTTTTAGTTAAAACTATGATTACGGTTTGGATAAGATGGGCAGTGGTTTTGGTCTCCAGAAACATATTTTTTAGTTAATGAAATGTCCTCTGAAGTGATGGAAACATGGCCGTGTGTCTGTGTGTGCAGTTTGAATACGACGAGCAGCAGGAGGTGAACGTATCCTTCCACATCAAGGACAGAGACACTGAGAGGAAGATTGACAGCACCCTGACAGGTTGGTATTTCACCAGCACAGACACTTCACAATCGCACATAAATCAGGATAAAGTGTGAAAGTGCAGTTATCACGCTGTTTTTAGTGTCACCTTCGCTCATTTCAAATTCACTTCCAGCTGCATTATGATAATTAGCCTCACCCTCTCTTCTCCATCTTCTTCTTCATCTTGCTCTCCTCTTCTTGCCGCTGTCTCCCCAACAGTCGTACTGTATAGCTGCTCAGTGGGAAGAGAGGACTGCAGCCTGTGTAAACATGCCGACTCCAAGTACCAGTGTGTTTGGTGCGCCACCTCACACAGCTGCGTTTACCGGGAACTCTGCCGTTCACCGCAGCCAGCGCAGTGCCCCAACCCAGAAATCACTGATGTGAGTCATAAAAACACAAAGCTATGACCTCTGACATGTCGGTAGTAAACACTGTTGGAACTTCTTTATGGACAGGATTGGTTCTATGTTTGGGAGCCTGACGGGTTTGAATGAGTGAAATGTATGTGCGGTAACTTTTACCCTCTGTAAGACTCTGGCAGTGAGATTCATCTATCCTTCCATCCATTTACTTCTGTTTATCTGATGTGGAAGCAGGTTGCAGCAGGATAAACAGGATCATTTACTTCAGATGTTTTCACCTCACCCAGCTTCTTTTTATGTCAAAAGCCTGCAACCATACTCTGAGGCTCCTCCAGATATCTGAGCGCTCTAAAAGTCCAGACACCCAACAGATGAAGCTAGTTTCTGCCATTGGTATCCGCAATTTCCCTCTTCTGGTCCACTTCTCGCTAAACTCCTTTGCTTTGGGCACCAGCTCTCCCCCAACTCAGCAATCGTGTTGTCCACACAAAAAATCTGAAACATGATTCTCAAACAGATCTTCCTCACATTGACGTCCTGTTCATATGTAAAAAAAAGGATAACCCAACTGGACTCCAATAACCATCAATCCAAACAGTCAAAAACTGCATAAATGAATAAAACACACGGCCTGGATAGAACATCTTTAAGACCATGTGGACTAATTCACAGCCAGGCAGTTTTTTCCTTATTGCTTTTATTTTACTTTCCATTTAATGTAGCCCCATTTTCTGATTAACTTTCTTAGTTTATGATCGTAAATGGGTTCTTTGTGCTTTCCCGTGATCTTAAGGTGGATGAGTACTTAGGGCATAGGTGTCAAACTCTGGCCCGCGGGCCAAATTTGGCCCGCAGCCTACTTACATTTGGCCCGCGAAGCCATACCAAATTACTATCAGAGCTGGCCTACTGGTATTATACAGCTAATATATATATCGTTTAGTATTAAGCTTTGCTTGTTTCATATTCAGTTTTTCAGCAAAACGTGTTTGAGTCCATAAGAAAAGATTCATTCTTATATTTGGAGGAATAAATATTTTTCAATAAATATTAACGTTAGCCCGCGACTTTGTTCCAGTTTTGAATTTTGGCCCACTGTGTATTTGAGTTTGACACCCCTGACTTAGGGGGATGATGGATGGATGATTTCTTGTTGTCTGTGCCAATGTTTTTTGGGGCAAAGCCCTACATTTTTCTGTTCATCATTCAGCAAAATCACAGGTAAAAAGTTCTAATAAGAGAGCTTTATCATGTTCAGATATCCCAGTTTTGGGTGAGAATTCCTGGGACTAAGTAAAAGATCTGCACCAAGAATGTCTTATTCTTCAGTTTCACACAAATATAACAACCACAAAGACTTGAACAAAAACTGCAGCATGTTCCATTTATAATCTGCACTGAACCAGAGAGTGACCTCACAGCATTTCAGAGATTAAACCGCAGAGCTGTGATGTGGCTGTGTCATTTAACAGAAGCAGAAATCCAGGAGAAGATCTGTGAGTAGCACCTTTAATACAGCCAGTATTGCATTTTCCCTTCTCATCGTAACAGAAGACGAGAAAACCTACTGACATAAATCACACCGTCGTTCATGTGAAGTTGTCCTTTGTAGAAAAGAGTGCAGTGGGAAAACTGCAACCAGCTCTGAAATGTGCTGCGGCTGCAGAAAAAAAAACATACATAGAAAGCAATCATATGGATGACAGAGGACAAGAATGATTTTACATGGATCTGTTTGATTTTTGTCACTTTGCACAACCTGATTTGCTCACCAACATATTTTTGTGAGTGCTCTTACTTGGTTAGCATCCAAGTTTTTGGTGCAAAGCCTAAAAGTTTCTCACTTTTAACCTGATGGCCATCATCTTTAAAGAAACGGAGTGTTACGTTATCAGCTAACCCTGGCTCGCCTAGTTAGCAAGCTGGATCCACAGACTATATTTGTGCAACACAAAGAAGCAAACACCTGCTAATTAGTATTAAATAAGACACTAAAGCTGGAAGTAAAGATTAATTAATTGGCAGCATTTAACTTCACTCCACGATCATTATGTCGACTCCAATCACTTGAATTAATTGAGGTCATTCAAGTTAGCCACACTATTAATAATACACATTTTTATCTTTACTGCAGTGAATGGGTGAGATGCATTACAGTCACACTAAAGCAGCACAACCAGAATTATGAAGTTGCCACCTCGTTGCCTTTGAAATAGTTACTTCAAAGATGGGGATCGAATCTGCGGCCACTCAGATTCAGCTCAAAGCAGCTTTGCCACATCAAGATGGCGATAAAACACCAATCAGACAGTCGGTTTGCTCTGTTTGCCGTTGAATGGGGCCAATATGGCAATCACATGCAGTCTGTTTGGCTTAATACATCCATTAACTGTGATAAATTGGCCAAAACTTCAAATCTGTTTGCAGCTGCATACATAGAAATTCTGCTACTACTTACATTAAGTACCAGTTTAACTGGAAAATAGGCGCTTGGTAGGATTGCTTTTACTTAGGAGGAATAACCAATACCTAGTTGGCATCCAGCTGAGTCGACTCCCTTTTTGCAAAGGGTTGATTGCCGGCACATTGCAACCAATCTGCGTGGTTTAGAAATTAGACAGCAATTCTTTGCAACCTTTCACCAATCTGTCTGAGATGGCAGTCGATCATCTTCCTAAACCACAGGTGTCTAACCTGAAGCCTCAAGGGCCGGTGTCCTGCAGGTTTTAGATATCAACCTGGGTCAACACCCCTGAATCAAATGATTAGTTCATTGCCAGGCCTCTGGAGAACTTCAAGACACGTTGAAGAGGTAATTTAGTCATTTAAATGAGCAGTGTTGGATCAAGGACACATCTAAAACCTGCAGGACAACGACCCTTTAGGCCTGGAGTTGGACACCCCCGTCCTAATTTATTAAACTGAATTTTGTTTGTTTTTTTTGTTCATTTTGTTCAGTATCAATTTTGTTCTTCAGGATTTTTTTCTTTTAGTTGTACATCAAATTAAACAAAGCAAAGAATCCACGAACCCTCACCTACATCTGTGTGGACGGTCTTAGAAATCCACATCTTTCCACAAATTCATCTCTTCTCTTTTTGTCACTGAGCTAATTTTTTTTCCTTCCCATATTGTATTCGCTGTTTGTCTCCTCCTTGGCTGAACTGCTTCAGTATGTTTCCTATTTTCTCTGGAACATCAGTCATTTGTTTCAGGCCCCGTCTTGATTTCCTCTGGGCTGCGGCTGATTATGCCAGAAGAAGTTAGTTATTTCCACAGCAGACTTTGCTGAGGACGACAGGGAGGTGAATATATACAAGATGAATTTGATCTTATACGTCGTGCAGTCACGTCAAATTGAAGATGAGATGGCCCAAATTGAAGCAGATATGCCGAACCTTTATTTCAGAAGATGTGTTTTCACAGGCTGTACTTCAACATCTTTATGAATATTTATACATTAATGTCATAACATTGGAAGCAGAAATATTTACAATTTGTTTTTTTATCTTTCTTTAGATTTTTTCCCATTTTCAGATTTTTCCCTTTAATTCATAAAGTCGTAGTACAGAGAGAAAAACCCCAAAAAGCACAGAATTATAAAAATATTTTCTTTATAAAATCTGAAATATTTGAAAAAAATATTGTTTTTAAACATTACAAAGTGCAATTAATGGAATATTTGTTTTAGAAAATGGACGTATTCATTGGTCGGTAGGTCACTTATCATTAAAATAAAAGCAGCACGGCGCTGTTTTCACCTTTACACTGTGCTACACTCTAATTAGCATTCAGCTTCACCTGAAGCATCCCTGAAGCCTTCATTTGTTGGACACTTTGGCCAAGCAGAAACTGGTGAGCTGTGAGTGGCGCATGCAGGCGTCCCATCATTCTGTGATTTGGGGAATGCTTTGCATCTTCATTATCACTCGGTAGCGTTTGCTTAATTGTAGGAAGCCAAAATTGTTAATATTCGATTGTTGTGCAGTATTCTGTAAGGACCTTTCAAACCTGTTTCTACCCACAGCTTGTGTGACTGATTGACAGAAAAAGTAACTTTGGTATATTTGCAGGTTTTGGAATTTCAGCTCTCCTGCTATGATCTGTGATATCAAACAGTCTTTTCTTTCCTTCTCCAGATCAGCCCTCGGTACGGCCCTCTGAATGGCCGGATCTCAGTGACCATCAAAGGCTCCAACATGGGAATAAAGAAGGAAGACATCAAAAAGATCACAGTGGCCGGAGTGGACTGCATTCACCAGGAGGACAGATACTCTGTCTCAACCAGGTACTCTAACAGGAGCGACGGCCTCGTTAACATGCAGATAGAAGCACACCTGTTGCTTTTACACACTAAGCTGAAGCTCTTTCACATGCACCTGTAGCAGTGTGCTGACATGAATTATTAGCTAAAGATAAAAATCTATAAAAGCTTAGTATTTCTGCACGTCATTTTGTTTTTTTTGGTTGATTGTACCAGGCACTGCCCCGCAGGTGAAGGCTTTGATCTATTAGCCTGACCCAAAACTTGATTGCTTACATACTTGCAAGTAATCTCCATATGTAATGTACAATTAAGGGGTTGATTCAAGAGGGGGCAATGAGTTATTTGAATTCTGGGCCTCCATCTGTTTTCTGAACCGCGGCCTCTGTTGTTTTCTGTCGGCAGCGTGGTGTGTGAGATTGGCCCGGCGAAGCGAAACCCACCGCAGGACCTCCCGTTTGAAAGGACCAACAGCGGACCAGTGGAGATAACAGTTGAAGGAGAACGATCGGGGACATCTCAGGTCTATTTTACCTACAGGGTACGTCAAGACCTTCCTCTAACACACGGTCAGGAAACGCATGAAAGTACCAGGTGCTCATCAGCACTTTCAAAATAAGAGTGTTGGGTTTGTCTACTAGAAAGGTAATTATGGGTAATCGTGGGTATGGATAAAAAGAAATAAGTCAGTGGATAGACGCCTGACCTTGCTTGTATTATTCACACGCCAGCAGACTAAAGCGAAAGATGTTTCTGTAGCTTGTTTCAGGCTTTTTGATTCAACTTATAATTTAAGACAGTGACGATTAACGAAGATCAGTAATAAACCGATAAATCCCCCTGAAAACACCAGAGGCTCCTTTACATACAGCTCAGGCTTCATAGCATATTGAGCATCAGAACCCACATATGTTAACAGCTAACATGTGTCTTATCTGTACACTAGTTTGCTATTAGAAATGCTGTAGAAATGTCTCCTGATCTTCTGTCTTAAAGCATCTTAGTTCAACTTCAGGAAGCTTTAAAAAACTGTTCAGTCTGGTGTAGTTAAACCTGCAGACACTGCATGCAAACCTTCTCAAAGTCTCTGAGGCAACACCGAACATTGTTTGACACAAGTGCTTCAAACCCCGGAGATCAAATCCCAGAAACATTAAAAGGTTTCTAACAAAGTAAAAGCATGCGGCTCTTCTCTGGTGCGATGCAAGGAAACGGTCTCCCTAAAGAAGCGGCAGTGCGTGAAAATACTCCTTGCATACAAATTCACCACCGCCGCACCAAACTCCATTCAGTTTCCAGTAACCCCCCCCCACCCTCGCATAGCACAAGAGGAGAAACAAACATGATCAAAATAAATGTGCTTCACCTGCTGTTCTGTTTTGTTTCTTGAACTCGGCTCAGTTGCTTAATTTGAATATCGCTGTTCACATTCATATTTCTTGTTTGTTTCTATTGAACTGACAAAAAGCTAATTAAAGCAAACTGCTGAGACCAAAATGACTAATTTAGTTCATCAGCAGTGCGTCACTGCCTTTAAATGCTGCGACTCAGCTCAGGGTTGAAACTTCAGATTACTACATTGCTGATTTGTCTCAGTGTCTACGCAGAAATATGAAACTAATAAACATGCTGACCACGATGTTGGGCTTTTCATGAACAAGAACACATCGTGTTTCAAAAATATTCAAAATCCAAATGTTTTCACTCCTTTTAGCTTCTCAAATGTGATGAATTTCGGCGTGTTAGAGGTGAAATTGGATAACATTATGATTACAAGGAGCATTTTGAGTATTTTACAGACATTTTTTGAACAGGTAGGTCGATTAATGAAAAGTCACAAATCACAAAAAACACACATGTGCAGTTGCCCTCAGAAAAAAACACAAAAACTGACGCAATACGTGTTGCTGAATCATGAAAACAAAGAATACTTCCACAGCTTTAAACTGTCGCTGTATTTATATACCTGCACTCTAGGGTAGCTTTGCATGATTCACAGTTCAGAATAATCCGGATTTATAGTTTAGTCGGCACTGGTGCTGCCTCTCAGTCAATCCTGCATGGGTCAAGCTGTTTTAACTTTCTTTGCTGCTCATGAACAGAAAGTCCAAACTACAGGCAGAGCTTTCATAAAGCCACACAGTACAAAACCAGCCTGGCAGAGGAAGGAAATTAAAGATTACAAAGACTCTAGTAAGAGATGTGTCCAAAGACCCCAACACAACTGCCACCTGACTGACACCCATTAACGACTTAGCCAAGTCAGGAATTGTAGTATAAAAAAGTAAAAACTCAAACTCTCTACAGAAATGGACTGTGAGGTCGCAGACCAAGAATAATACTGCAGAAGAAGATGTTCTTAATCCAGACTGAAAGTGACAATTATTCACACTGGAAGCTAAACTAGACTAAACTGGAGCTCTTTGATCACAGAGATGGTGCTTAGAAAGAAGGCTACAACCTAAAGATCAGCGTTTCTACAGTGAAACACGGTGGTGGGAGTATTGTGCTGTGAAAAATGAGAGCCACATATGAGGATATTCGTTTAAAGTTTTGATAGAACAGTAGCAGTATAATGTAAGTGGATATCAGGCCCTTGTAGAGCAAAATTCAGTATTTTGGTCTAAATAACCCAAAATGTGATGTCCACATATGTGGACGCCAGGTCCTAGGAGGTTAAAGAAAACCTCAAGCTGTCAGCAGCTAAACTGGGGCCCAAAACATGCATCACTCCTGGTGAAGAAGTAACATTACTCACCGGCCTGCATAAAGCCGCGACTTGAATCCCGTTAAAGATCTGTGTGGTAAACAGAAGACCAAGGTTCATACTGGAAGGCCTTTAAATCTGGAGGCACTCGTGAAGCGCTTTAAAAAAAAAAAAAAAGCAGTCATTTTCATTGGGGGCAAATACTTCTGTCCCGGTGGTTTTTTAGTAAGAAAATTCAGTCTTTGTGTCTGAGTCTGAGTTTTGTTTTTATTTTGTTTTTTGTTTTTTTGGCACCAGGTGCTTTCCAGTGTCCATTTGGAGTTTTCATGTTCAGCTTTCATTGTGGTGTAAAGTGACAGAACCATCACGGAGGATTCAAAAACCTGTGCTTTTTAAAAAAAATTACAAACAGGCTTTCTTCCTTTACTCTTCAGTTACATTAGAGTAAACGCCTTCAGATGACTATAAAGACAATTAAATGTTCCTGAATGGTTGGAGCTGTTCAGCCTAAGCTTTAAAGTTTCTGTGTGTCACGAGGACAGACTAATAAGCTCGTCTGGGTTATAATTGATGTACAAATGACTAATTACTGCAGCTGACAAATGCTGACCTTTGATGTGAATGAGCCTGATGCTGCCTCATTTTAATTCCACATCGATTTGTTCAGATTTCCATCTGCTGCAACTCCCCTAGTGAGTGTCTCTGGGTTGGAGTTTGTTTCCTTTTAACGCGAAGAACTGTCTGCATTCCCTTTGTCTCTCCCACCGAATACACTTCAGTTGCTGCTGCCTCCTGCACTGCTGTTTTCTCTGTGTGTTCAACTTCCAACCAGGCAGAGTTGTTATGAGTTTGCCTGTCGTTGGGGATATTTATTTTTGTGCTTGCAGCGCTGTCTGCCAGAACAACGAGAACAAATCTGCAACAGCAACGAGCCGAATGCTTAAGTGCGTCTCAGCAGCTGCACATGTGCTACGCTCATTTAAAGGATATTATAGTTCTTCTTTGCTTTGGATTCATTTTTATACTTTTTTATTTATATAAGATTCTTCTTGCATCTAAAGAAAGACGACTTAACTTGATAATTTTGAAGGCTCTTTGTGCTGGGGTGTAAACCAGGCATAATATTTGCTCTTGGTTTGGTTGTCCTGTCAGGACTGTACAGAACCTTCCAGTATAACAGAAACCCCTCCAGCTGACCCACACAGCACAGAAGTAGAAAACGTGCCTGACGGTGAAGCTCTGCCGTGACACGGATTTTTATTTTCTTTCTTTGTAGTCGTTGTTCTTAGTTGTTCTGCTGCCTAAATACCACAGGGTCGAGTTATTGAGTTATTGAGCTGCATAAAATTTACGATCTGTTTGAGTTCGAGATCAAAGCGTTTGTACCTGCAGGACAGCAGCTGGAACATAATGAAGTCTACACGGTTAAAGTTTTCTCTTCACTTCTCATTTTTATTCTTCTCTCTCTCTGCTGCTCGGTTTGACAGATCTGGGAGCTTTTGTTTTTATCATCATAAATATTATTATTGTTATTTTACTCTCCAGAAGCTTTAAAAAAGTGTTTGCAGTTTGAAAACTTGGTTTAAGAGTTAAATACAAACATCGGTCCTTCTGAAATTCTCCCAGAGGCATGGAGACATACTCAAAGGAGTCAACCTGTAAAGGAGACTCTCTCTTCCTTTATGTTAGTACCATTATAGATTATTTATATAAAATAGCCACAGCCTCATAACTCTTTAGTTTGGATTTTATGATTTCTGTCACTGGAAAATATTGTTTTGGTGAGACGGAAGTGACGGTATAGTTGCAGCATTAAAGTGATAATACTTAATGAATCATTAGTTTTAAGTACTTTAAGTATACAGGGAGTGCAGAATTATTAGGCAAATGAGTAGGTTCTAGGTTCTTTATTTTTTGTCACATGCATAGTTATACAAGTATAACACACAGTGAAATGTAGCCTGACACGCTCCTCGACATGTGCAAAAATGGGGGGGTGTAGAGGAAGAACATTATATATATATATATATATATATATATATACAACTACAGCACACACACACACACACACACACACCACACACACACACACACACATCACACACATACAGTATAACACTGGGTGAATGTGCAGTAGTAGCAGCAAGCAGGTGAATTCGTGCAGAATTATTAGGCAAATGAGTATTTTGTCCACATCATCCTCTTCATGCATGTTGTCTTACTCCAAGCTGTATAGGCTCGAAAGCCTACTACCAATTAAGCATATTAGGTGATGTGCATCCTGTAATGAGAAGGGGTGTGGTCTAATGACATCAACACCCTATATCAGGTGTGCATAATTATTAGGCAACGTCCTTTCCTTTGGCAAAATGGGTCAAAAGAAGGACTTGACAGGCTCAGAAAAGTCAAAAATAGTGAGATATCTTGCAGAGGGATGCAGCAGTCTCAAAATTGCAAAGCTTCTGAAGCGTGATCATCGAACAATCAAGCGTTTCATTCAAAATAGTCAACAGGGTCGCAAGAAGCGTGTGGAAAAACCAAGGCGCAAAATAACTGCCCATGAACTGAGAAAAGTCAAGCGTGCAGCTGCCAAGATGCCACTTGCCACCAGTTTGGCCATATTTCAGAGCTGCAACATCACTGGAGTGCCCAAAAGCACAAGGTGTGCAATACTCAGAGACATGGCCAAGGTAAGAAAGGCTGAAAGACGACCACCACTGAACAAGACACACAAGCTGAAACGTCAAGACTGGGCCAAGAAATATCTCAAGACTGGTTTTTCTAAGGTTTTATGGACTGATGAAATGAGAGTGAGTCTTGATGGGCCAGATGGATGGGCCCGTGGCTGGATTGGTAAAGGGCAGAGAGCTCCAGTCCGACTCAGACGCCAGCAAGGTGGAGGTGGAGTACTGGTTTGGGCTGGTATCATCAAAGATGAGCTTGTGGGGCCTTTTCGGGTTGAGGATGGAGTCAAGCTCAACTCCCAGTCCTACTGCCAGTTTCTGGAAGACACCTTCTTCAAGCAGTGGTACAGGAAGAAGTCTGCATCCTTCAAGAAAAACATGATTTTCATGCAGGACAATGCTCCATCACACGCGTCCAAGTACTCCACAGCGTGGCTGGCAAGAAAGGGTATAAAAGAAGAAAAACTAATGACATGGCCACCTTGTTCACCTGATCTGAACCCCATTGAGAACCTGTGGTCCATCATCAAATGTGAGATTTACAAGGAGGGAAAACAGTACACCTCTCTGAACAGTGTCTGGGAGGCTGTGGTTGCTGCTGCACGCAATGTTGATGGTGAACAGATCAAAACACTGACAGAATCCATGGATGGCAGGCTTTTGAGTGTCCTTGCAAAGAAAGGTGGCTATATTGGTCGCTGATTTGTTTTTGTTTTGTTTTTGAATGTCAGAAATGTATATTTGTGAATGTGGAGATGTTATATTGGTTTCACTGGTAAAAATAAATAATTGAAATGGGTATATATTTGTTTTTTGTTAAGTTGCCTAATAATTATGCACAGTAATAGTCACCTGCACACACAGATATCCCCCTAAAATAGCTAAAACTAAAAACAAACTAAAAACTACTTCCAAAAACATTCAGCTTTGATATTAATGAGTTTTTTGGGTTCATTGAGAACATGGTTGTTGTTCAATAATAAAATTATTCCTCAAAAATACAACTTGCCTAATAATTCTGCACTCCCTGTATTGTTGCTCAAGCTTTTGCACTGTAACTTAAGTAGGTTCATAACTTTTAATGAAGGATATTTTTTCACTGTTTCACTTATTTGATACAAATTGATGCCGTGTCACATGATGCATCTTTATTCAGGCACAGGGCTGCATATGAACCTAAAATAGTAAAAGTTTCTACTCCAGTTATAATCATATAAGATGATTTTATAGAAGGCCAGCCTCGCCTTATTCCTGCTCACATTTCTTGACTTACTTGCTTCCTTATGAATATGTGTGTTATGTGTCCATTTCCAGGAAGTTTGTTACACCTGCTGATTTTAACTTCTACAGCAGTTCTGCTGTCATGTAGCGCCATCATTAGACTAAAATTGAAATTAGACGAATATGATGCTCTAATCCAGAGGTCTCAAACTGAAATGAGCTGTGGGCCACTGCTGGCATCATCATCTTAATGGAGTGCCGCTTGTAATCGGAAGGTTGCCGGTTCGAGCCCCGGCTTGGACAGTCTCGGTCGTTGTGTCCTTGGGCAAGACACTTCACCCGTTGCCTACTGGTGGTGGTCAGAGGGCCCGGTGGCGCCAGTGTCCGGCAGCCTCGCGTCTGTCAGTGCGCCCCAGGGTGGCTGTGGCTACAATGTAGCTGCCATCACCAGTGTGTGAATGGGTGGATGACTGGATGTGTAAAGCGTTTTGGGGTCCTTAGGGACTAGTAAAGCGCCATATAAATACAGGCCATTTACCATTTTAGTGTTTTGTTTGTTTTTTAAACTTTCAAATATTGCATAACAAGACCAAACTGAAAAAGTGTGGGCAATTTTTTTTTTCTCACTCTTAACTAACTAAAGCTTTTCATTGAACTACCAAATAAACAAATTGGTCCTCTCTTTCTGGGCAGACACGTGGCAACACTTCTGTTTTGTTCGTATTTAACAAAATAAAAATGCAAACATAAGTGTACGCGTTAGTTTTTGACTGCTAGTGAAAATAGTTTTCTTTACAAATAACTTTCTCACTGAACTACCAAACCCTCAACATGTTTGTACTCTCTGCTTATATTGTCTTCATATTAAATAACTTTTTGCTTTTTAAAGAGCTTATTTTAACATTGCATTCAACAACAAATAAATCCTCCCTAACAAAAAAGTTACTTCAAGGGCCAAATTGTATTATATTTCTTCATGTCCATATACGGACTGCAAGTAGGGGTGATGTGGGCTACAAGTGGCCCCCAGGTCACGAGTTTGAGACCCCTGCTCTAAATTAAACATAAGTTTGAAGAGTCATTTTGTAAAATGTATTTTGAAAAATAAAATGTATTTTTTTTGCAACATATTTCCACAAAAAGTGTAAAATTAAAATTTCAAATTGATTTAAAAATCCCCCACAAATACAAATTACTTGAATCATTCTTAACTTGAAGAATATGTATAAAGATTTGGCAAATTGTCCAGTTTTTAAGGTTTTTATCACATAAATTCAGTAATTACAGTAACACAGGTACATGGTTTAATAAGGTACACGCTATAATAAAGCAGTTCTGACTGCAGCCGATCACTCTGTTGGTTTCATAATGTTAACAAGCTAAAGTGTGGTTTTGTACATGGTGTACCTGAACCTGCTGCTTTGCTCTTACAGCCAGGTGGTGCAGCATATGTTTATGGTGCCGGCATTTAAGTAGCAGCCATCTGGAGTAGCCTCCTATAGACTTAGCCTGTTGAGAGGTTTTTATAAACGCAGCGCTCTTATCAACAGATGTAAATTGTCCTCTAACTGTTTGATCCTTCAGTAAAACCTTCAGTTGGTAAACAAATGGGCTGATTTTGTTGTTCATTAGTAGAATAGATTCACTTGTTTGCTTTTATTACAGTTAAATTAAAACATGATTACTCTAATGTGCTTAACGTTTTTAATCAAAGCAAAAAATGATGAAATAAAACACAAACACAGCGGACGTCCGTGCTTGTGTTCCAGCTGTAGAATTTATTAACATTTATTACATATACACTCTTATGCAGCGGTCCCCAACCTTTTTTGCGCCACGGGCGGGTTTATGCCCAACAGTATTTTCACAGACTGGCCTTTAAGGTGTCGCGGATAAATACAACAAAAAAAAATAGTATCGGTACCGAACAAGATAAGATTTATTCATAACACACATGAAAAGACCCAGGAAAACAGAGTTAACGATAAAAATCATAAAATAACGCTAAAAACCGATAAAAATCCTGAAAACCATACATTTCACACCCAAGCCTCAACTCTTGCGGCCCGGTACCAAACGACTCGGCCCGGGGTTGGGGACCGCTGCTCTTATGTGATCCATCCTAAAGTCAGTATTTTCGTCATTATATCAAGTAGAAAAGAAGGCAAATAATTTCCTTACCTATTCAGTCAAACGTGATCTGAACTTTTTTTTTTTCAAACTGCTAAAGTAAATGTACAAAATGTAGAAACGTAAAAAGACACAAATATGATTAAATGAATATATGAAATGTATGTACATGCATAGTAGCCTCTGTAATAGAAAGTGTCCACATATTGTATGGAAATTGCAGCATATTCCCATTAAAGTTACTGAGTTTGGTCATTTTCTCCCTGTTTTCTGTGCAGGACCCCGAACCGAGAACAGTCATGCCAGAGAGGGGTCCAGCAGCTGGAGGGACGGTGATCACGATCGGAGGCAAAGACCTGGACACGGCGACTAAAGAGGACGTTGCTGTGACAGTGGGAGGAGTTCCCTGTGAAGTGTAAGTGACACCTGGTAAAGGAAAATGCAAATGGTACCAGAAACAAAAAAATAAAGAGAATAGATGGACCTGAAACTCATTTATATTCATAAATATTTTCTTTTGGTTCTTCAAGATCAGTAAATACAACATAGAAAATGAGTCAGTCGCACAGTTTCACAGAGTTCATGAACTTTTTCCATCCATTTAGGGATCGTATTGCTTTTCTTGTTTCTCGAGTCAGCCTATGTTCTTACTCTTCCTTCCTCCTCTTCAGCCTTTCATTCGGCACAGAGATTACCTGTAAGACTGGCAGGTATCGTGGGCAGAAGGTCCCATCGGACCGCTTAACAGTGACTGTGAAATACGGGACGAACACCACCAAAGACATCCACGGAGCCTATCAGTACTCGGAAAACCCCAAGATCACGGAATATAACCCCAAAGCCAGCTTCATATGGTGAGTGTGAACACATCACACGCACAGTTTTGCTTGTTTGAGTGAGTAACAGCCCTCAAAAGGACGCCTGACACAGATGTAGATGATGAATTCAAGAAAATTGTAAACTTGTAAATTGTAAATTTGATCTGTGTATCTTTAAAGGTCATCACCTTGTGCGTTGCTTGACCGCTGCTGCTTTGAAATCAGTCTCTCAAAATAAAATTTGGGTTTTTGAGTTTGGAATGGAAGTTGGATGAGGCGTGTATTCAAATTACAGACACATGTAAGTGGTTATATCTGGGATTCCAGAGATGGATCTAAAACTACAAGCAGCACTGGAAGTGACCCAGAGCAGCAGATTGGCGCAGTCACCTATAGTTTTCATGGAGCATGCCATGTTGCAGATACTTGCTAACTAATAACCAATCGGTAGTGCAACTTGAAAAAGAGCAATACAAACAGGAGGAGGATGGAAACTGTTCACCTTCAAAGTAGAAAGTTATGCCTTACCACTGTAATCAACACATTTGAAAGGCACCATTTTTACTTTGAAGGTGAATCGTCTTTATTTCCAGTTAGCCTCAAACCTTTAGTGGATAGCTAGTGAGTGTTTGGATACAAGTCGGCATCTTGCAAACTGTGGGTGGCTGCAGGATTCTGCCACAGAGGTTTTTGGTTTAACAATACCTCTGTGACCATTTTCACCTAGCAACATTAACTGCAGGGAGTTTTCCAGCTGGTTGCCAACTGCTCTCTAAGCCTTTGACTGGTACAGCATCAGTCTACAGCCTTATTTGAATAAAAACTCTGTAATGGTAAAAAGAAAACAACAAAACCAGAAACATAAAGTACTCCATGTGAGGCATTTTTGTGTTGAGGTTAAAGGATGTAATAAAGTTGTCTCACTTACATTTAAATTTGCTGTTATTAAGCATTTGAGAAAATAAAGAGATGGAGTGAAGCTAAAACCTCGCCCAGATGTAAATCCAAGTCCTTAAAATTGTTTAAATGCTTATTCTTTGTTATTTTTGTGTAGCGGTGGTCGAAAGATTGTGGTGTCTGGAAGCGGGTTTGATCTCATCCAGAGAGCCATGATGAAAGTCCAGCCCTCCCCTGACGAGTTTTCACACAATTTGCCGCCTGAAGAGGTAAGAGCTGGTGTCATCACACTACGAAAAAGCAGTGGTTGGAGACAGCCTTGCAACCTAAATGAACTTGCAGCCTTGTTGCCTTTGAAATGGTTGCTTTGAAGACGGGGATCAGGTCTGTGGCCACTCACTGTCAGTTACTGTCACTGAGGCATCAAAATGGCAATAAAATCGCTAGAAAGCAGTCAGTTTGCAATTAAATGGGGTAAAATTGGCAGTGTATTTGTGGTAATATGGACATTAACTGACAGATCAGCAGCATGCAGATAATTTCTCATTAACTACTTACATCCAGACAGCCGATACCTCAAAAATTTGAAATGGAAATTCAGAAATCTTCCACAAATAGTTACATTTATGACAAATGACGAAAGCACTCAGCAAACCCTGCTTTCATACAGGAATATAGCTTCATACAATCAGTATTATAGTTGAGTTAAGAGCCCTTTTCTGCAAAGAGACTTGTTGCAGACGAGCTGTGCTCATTGGCACAAACAGACTCATTTAATTGCAACATGTTTGCAGTTGGTTTATAAATGACACTGCAATTATTAAGAAACCTTTGCAAAAATGTCTGTGATTCCTGCAGATGTTTGGAGACGAGTTGCCTGAATGTGTAACTGATTTATATCTACTACAGTGGAATTATGTGTGATGTATTATTAAGCTCTCATAAGTAATAATATACCTAATAAGCACCTAGCAAAGTGCTAAATGGTATCTGATGTTGAAGTGTATCAGTGTACCAACACAAGCATAACAATACAGTAGCATAAGCACTTAATAGTGAAATAAAGGAGTGTCAGATCGAAGAATAAGAATTTGCAAAAACCGATTCAACTTCATTTCCCACAAGAAAAGATAAATGACCAATTACCCTTAATTCATCTTTTCTTTAAATTTCCGTAAAAATTTACGCTGCTGTTGTGTGTTCTTTAGAAAATTGTATTTGCTTTCATTTAAAAATGTCATATTGAATGGGTTAAAATACATGTGTCATTGTATTTGTGTGAATCTGGAACATTGTATGTTAGTGGACATCAGCAAAACTGCTCATTTAGATCCGTAGTGTCTGGGTAAATTGTGACTCAACAGAGGCATACGTAGAGTGTGTCTTTATTATAACTAGTAAGGCATTACAATATGTGGCCCGTTTTACTGACAGCGCAGTGTTCTACAATTTAAATGAACAAATAATTGCTAAAAGTAGCCAAGTTTTCGTCTTATATTTTGATCTTTGTGAGAAAACATCCATCGCGAGAGACGGTAAGACCACGTTTCTTTAGAATTACTTGGGGCGAAATGTGCAGTCAGTGTGACTGTGAGGATGTTTTTAATAAATGCAGAGTGTCAGCTTGATGTACGTCAGTCTGCAGCCTCATCTGCCGCTTGTTCTCGCCGAGCCAAAAGCCTGAGACTGAGGGAACAGAGCAAAGCTGCTATTTCACTGCTGAATAGCTTTGAGTGACAGAGACTCTTAGGAAAGATTCACTGCAGGGGAGAGGAGGTGAAGTCGTTTTATTGTCACTTCATCAAAAGCTGCTGTCTGAACCGGGAAGAAAGAGAGGGAGACTCAGTGGGGAGGCAGAGAGGCGGGAGAAAAAGGAGTATGGGAAAGAGACAGAGGAGGAGGAAATATGAAGAAAAAGTTAAACCTGCGCTGTGATTCACTGCCATCAAACTGTCTGCAGGTTAAAATAGAAAAAGCTGAATTTAATCTGAAAATAATATATTTTTTTGTCCACTCGAGGGCAGCAGAAAATAGTCTGTTTTCTGTATTTGAATACGTAGATTTTTTTCGACATTCTGCTGTCAATCTGACACCATTTCAATAATGAATTTTGGCAAGCTAGACTTCATATTTAATGACGAATAAAAACTGTTGTTTTTGTCCATGTATGGTAGTCATCTCTTGACACTTTAAACTCTAAGCTAAAGACTTGTAGTGAATAGAAATCCAACAATCCAACAAAAGCACAGAGCTCAGAGAGGCCAGCCTCCTTTTCACTTTTTTAAGCTCTGTTTTTGCTCTCCACCACACTCGGTGTTCACCAGCTACTGAAAACAAACAAAATAATTAAATACGTTATATATTGAACACCTGCCATTACTCGCTGGGACACTTGGAGGTTGAAACAACCTATATACCTGACTCTGATTGTTTGGTTGTACAGCCAGGAATTCTCTGACAGCCCTGTTATCTACTAGGTATCTCCTTGTATCCTTGTAGCTCCTATTTTGGTCTCCACCGCCTTCTCAGGGAACTTTTGGCTTTATAGAAGCTAAATGCTCCACAGTAAAAACATCACTATAAAGTCTTTTTTTTTTTAAATCAGCTGACAGATGTGTTTTTGTTTTTGAAGCAACCAAAGCCGGGGAAAGTTTTAGGTCTGGTGTAGAAGATCTTTACAGAAAGCCGATTCTTTCAGCTTTACACACACCTGGCTCATGCTTCAGCTGTTCTCACTCTGAATAATTTCACTCTTTTTCTTTTATTTGTCTAGTTTGTGCAGGAGGCTCTGAGCAAGAACGACACAGTCCTCCAGTTTTACTCCCCGATAGTGAACTCCAGCTACGAAACCCTCTCTCAGTCTCTCAGGATTTACCTCCAGCTGGACAATGTGATCGAGGAGCTGAAGAGCTTCAACTATCACCCCAACCCCACCTTCAACGAGCTCGCCAGGAACGTCATCACAGAGACCGGCATTATCATCGTGACTGTGAGCACTGATTGCTAGAGATGCTCTTAAAATCCCCTCTTTGACTATTTTTCTGTAAATGGAGCTCACTCTCATTTTCTCACTTTTGCCAGGGCTGGGGTTTCTCCAAGGCGATGACAGCCAAAGAGGCCCAGGCGTTTGTTGGAGATGCCTCATGTCACGTAAACATACTGCAGGTAAACACTGTCTGTTTGAGGAAAGTTTATAATGGCTTTATAATAAGTTTACACTGTAAACATGGAGCTGATGTTCACATTTTATGAAATGTGGGGATATGAGACGGTCGTGTTATCCATGTCTAACACTGCGTGGCTGTTGGTTAAACTGAGAGTATGAGTCTGCCACGTCTGTCTTCCCACAGACATACAGGCTTCTAAAAATGCAGCATTAGGACACACTCAACGCTTGATCTCTCCTTTGGAAACAATTCAGTGAAGGCGCCGTCTCTTGATGAGTAGACTGCAAAGATGTTACGGTGACAAAAACAAAACATCTTCCAAATCTTTAGTTCTGATGCACCATGTGAAAATACAGCTAAAACATATTTCCTCCCGGTTTATCTGCTTTTGTTGTATGAGCAAAACAAACACCACAATTTCCTTTTAGTTAATGCAGCGTGTTGTGTCACATTCCAGCTCCTTATATTTTTGGACTCTACTTGGATTTTAGTTTTTGCATCATACAGATTAAAGAGAAAAAATCCTCACTCATCTAAAACAAGCCATTTTAGCCTGTTTTTCTTCAAGACCTGCCATCCCTGTGGGCTCCCTCTTGCTCCTCTGCTGGCTTCCAAAAACAGAAATCAATATTTCTAAGAATGTTTTGATCTGATTGGTTGACATTTTGGCCACTCTGTTATAAATAACTATTTGGGTACTGAGCAAAAACCTCTTTATGTTGCTTCCAAGGAGCCAGAACTTCTTGTTATTTTAAAATGGTCCTGGTTTTCTTGTTCTCCAGACTTTCTGAAGATCTTTCACCTTTTTTGTTTTTTGGGCGGAGCATCGGCTGCTTTTTTACTCACTTTCAATCCAGTTCTTGTACCTGCCCATTTTCAGACGAATGCTTGTTGGTCACAGCACCTTAACTCTGACCTGTGAATCACTCAAGCATAAAAAGGCACCTAACTCGTGGGATGAACCAATGTTGTTAGCAAAGAATCAAATCGTTACTAGCAGGCTGTTGCAAAATACGTAATTTGTTCCCATTTCTTCAGTTAAATCACTAAAAAAATTCTCAATTTGACACCATTTGACAGACATAAAATATTCTTCCACTAACTAAGTGATTCCCAAAGAACTATTGGCTTGAAACCTGCCATATTTCAAGATGGTGTCAAATGTATCTTGATATATTTGACAAAAGAAGAGATAGTGAGCCTTAAAAAAAAACCCATCTACAGCATGTGATCCACATCTGAAAGTTGTGTCCTTAAGAAACAGGGAAAAAAATGAGCAAACACGTGATGTAGGACCTGAGAGAAACATCTTGACCTTCAGATGATCCATCTGCTGTTTACTGAAGCCTCATCAGAAATGTTCTCAGTGGAAGGGCAGCTGTCAAGAAGCCGTTCTTAAGGAAGCGTGCCATTCTTCAGTATGAGAATGATCTCAAACACACTCTTAATGCAGTAAAAGCATACCAGAGCACAGAGCACAGCGTTGTTGAAGCAGTGTGGAATCATCTTGAGAGGGAACAGAACAAACTGCAGAACCATCAAAGAAGAGCTTTGAATGTCCTTCAAGAAGCCTGGAGAACTATTCCTAAAGACTACTTCATTTACTTCAGTCGGTTTTAGAAAACTAAAGCTGTGTTGAAGAATAAAGAATTTCAGGCTCACTACAGTTGAATTTTGGCCTTGTATTTGTATTTGTTTGCTAAGAAACGAAGGATGACTCAAGACTTTTGCATTAGTACAGAAGATAAGTGAAACTAATAGGTCCCCTTTAATTTTTATGAAAGTGTTTCTTCATGTAGTTGAGAACAGAAGCAGCATACAGGCAGTTAATTGACTGCAGTGGGTGTAAAACGATTAAACCAACAGAAATTATTGTGCTAATCGCAGCTGTTGCTACCTCCCTTTCTGTTCCCTTCTCTTGCACTTTAAATTGATAAAGTGAATGAAACGTGCTGGTTTATAGATTTTGTTTTTTGAATACCAAGATCAATCTGAGGGGCTGCAAAATTATCAGGTGAGGAAAAAAGAGGGGAAATGAGATGAGAGATGAGATGAGATAGCCTTTATTTGTCAGTTGCAGGTCTTTTGCCCACAACCGAGATGACAGACCTTGCCGACCGTACATACAATACACAAACATCACATTGGGGAGACAAGTCAGGCCAGGTAGCGAGGAAAAAAAAAACATCGAAATGTGTAACACAGAAGGATAATACAGGAATGCACAGATATCAACACACCATAGCACAGTAAACACAGACAGCAACATGGGAAAGAGTTCCAGTGTGTACATCTGATCTGCAATCTTTCCACTGTGCCTCCAACTGACCCGATGTCCACATCAGAGGGGAGGTAAGCGTTGGAGGTGGCGCTGGATCCGGGGTAGGGAGGGTGATGCGTCAGTGAGTGCTTATCAGTATCAGTGTATATGTATGTGTGTGCGTGTCCAGAGTTCAGCTGAGACAGTGTCCTTCGCCCTGCCAGGCTAAGTAAACAGTCTTCCAGCCAACCCAGGTGGCCTTGCATAGAATGGGAAGGAACAGACTCAACACAGTCGTTATCAGGGTGTTTTGTTCAGCTCCGGCCTTGAGCCCACAGCTGGCGCCGAAGGGGTATCCGCATTATAATGGTGATTTTTCTTTTACAAACAACTCATGAGAATTTCATGCTGTTTTTAACACTCCGACACCGACACTGGTCTCTCAATCTCCCGTTGGATAGCTGCAAGTTTCTCCATGATGTTATTTACCTTCAATTTCGTGGTCTTTTCACTCTTTTGCTCACAGAGCAGATTCTGAGACCGCACAACTGCAGCCAACTGATCCGCGATGTAATCCAGCTTCCGCCCAGAGGTGTTGTTCCGAGTGGATTCTTCCCTGATGTAATCCAATATACGCTCAGAGGTGTTATTCTGAGCCTTCACTGCAGCCGTTAGCGCCTCCAACCATGCTGCATTCAGTGAGCCCATTCTGAGAAGTTGCACCTCGTCCCATCGTTTCAATCCCAGCGGGCAGCCTTGGGGGTGTTTGAACAGCCAGTTCCGCTTTCTTAATTCTCTGATAAGCCAGGGCCAAGCCAGCTCCGATCAGCAAGAACCCTGTTATCATGGTTCCGAATAGGTAGATATCTTCAGCGTCCTCGATCGACAGTCCCGCCAGGCACACGATCCTCCATGTCTGCCACCCGTCCATCGTGTATCCGGCAGGGAAAGTCCCTCCAGGGCACTCGGGCTCTCCCGAGCCCAGACTTCTCGTTGAGAAAAGGGTGTCAATAGCATTCAGAGACCAGCTGATCAAATATGTTCCAAACAAACTGTTTTGTTATTGTGACTCCAAAAAACTGTGAACATTTATCAGGATCTGTGTATTATATTTAGTGATGCTCCACTAAGCATGTGTTTAGTTCACCTGTGTGACTCTTCATTCCTGTGGGCCCGGTACAGGATGATAAGCTGATACTGGAGGCGCCTTCATCCCAGCCCAGAGCCAGATCTAAACGTCAGCGCAGAGACACAGTCAACGACCTGCTGGAGCTGGTGGTGAGCATGTGACGTTTTAAGCACTTTGGCAGCCAGGAATGATGCTACTGAAGGACATAGGGAAAGTACAGAGCTTCTTACGCTAGTCTTTCAGATCCTGTAAAAGAACAGCACTGTTGCTTCACAGCAAACCCACACCGGGCTCTTTGGTGTGATGTTACCACGCGGGTTCTCTTCATATCAAATAACATGCTGGGTTAACCCTGCTGATCTTGGCACAGGACGTGCTTGCAAAAGAGTTTTTTATCTCAAGCTTTTCACTTACTTTCCATGTTAACACTCAGCAGTGAAAGAATATGGTTTGTGTTAAGCCTTCAGTAGGACAAGACTACATCAGAGTTTAAGAAGCAGATCCACTGAGTCTCATATGGAAGGAAATGTTTACAACAATGAAGATATAAAACAGAGAGAGAAGAGCTTTCAGCTCGGTTCAGCAGCAGTTTGTCTGTCTCCAGGTGAAATTTGGCCACGGCGAGTGGGTTGTGGGTTCGGTCTACTACTCAAGAAAAGACGACATTCCTCTGGCTATAATCATCCCGGCGGTGATCATACCGATGCTGCTGTTCATCGCCGTGTCAGTCTACTGCTACAGGTTAGTAGAATATGAGGTCAAATAGACAAATTAATTGTTGTGTGTGCCAATAAACACGCTCCCTTTTGCTTTTTGGGTCTGTAAACCAACAGGAGGAAGAGTCAGCAGGCAGAACGGGAATACGAGAAGGTGAAGCACCAGCTGGAGAATCTGGAGGAGAGTGTCCGAGATCGCTGCAAGAAAGAGTTCACAGGTACTGAGCCTCACCTGAAAGCTGTGAAGTCACAGGTCTGGTGTTTGTGGCGAGAGTGATCACTGAAGCCGTGTACATGTCTGTTATGAATTATTGTTTGGTTTTGATGGAAGTGTCTCAGCATTTTCAGAACTGTACAAGTCTGTTCTTATCTCTGGAAGAAGTGATGGCGGTGGAGCTTTAAAAGGTTTAAAAGAAGCAATGGACATTCTAAAAGCATTAACATTAAAAGAAGACATTCATCAATTAACTTACAGTATTGACACTGACTCTCTTAAAGACTGAACCCGGCTGTAAACTCTGTGTACTTCCATGTACAAAGCTGAATTTTGTCTGCATCTCGTCACCCGTTGGGTTCACAGATTGGAGCACATCACCACTTTGGCACTCTGCTGACCTCTGCCAGCGGAGGTCAGCAGATCGTGCAGCGCTTTGGCTCAAACATCAGAATCTTTCCATTCAGGCCTTCGGTGGAGCTTTTTTGGCTTCATCTGACGCCTGACAAGGAACTCTGTTTAGGTCAGCAGGCCCTGAAAGCAGGAATATTCAGTCAGGTGTTCATATTTATAAAGATGGAGGCAAATAAACACACTTTAATTAATGGACTGGTTCGAGAAAATCATAAAAATATGAGTGCTCTGATGAAGCTTTGAAGCCCATGGGAGGCTCAGTCTTCTTCCAGTACGTACAGAGGCGAGGTGTTTCTCCAGTGTGAATACGCCTATAATCTTTTCCCATTCTTGGTACACCACTGTGGTGTTGGTGCATACCGTAGCTGCTGCCATTTGAGTTTGTTAACTTCTAAATATCTGCATTTTGAACATCGTGGAAACTATAAAGAAGTTTGGCTATTCCATTTGTTTATGTTACGCTTCTTAATTACAGTTACAGCTTGTTTTTTTTCTTGTTTATATGTGAGAGCTGCTTAATTAGCTCATGCTGATTAATGGGAGTCTTCACATTGGTTTACCATCAGAGATGTGAGAGACGCACTAATGATTTTCATGGTGACAAAAGGTGAAATCACAAAGCGAAAAAACAAACATAAAGCGCTCAGGGTGACTGTTACCTACCATGAAATGTTCCTATAATTTTCCTGAATTTTCCTACACACAATACCACTTACAAGTTCTCTCCTATGACTATAACCTCTAACTTATTGATCTCTTCCAGTCTTTCAAAGCCTTTCCTTTAGCTGGAAAAGTGAGTACAGTCTGACTAAAGTTGTCTGCAGCTGAGAATAATCAGGATTGTTTTTGTCCTTAAGCTCTGGCCTTATTTATCAGGCAGGGATTTTCTAATGATCTAAGAATCCAGCGGTAAGCAGAGCCAATTAAGTCATGGACCCAAGTATGTTTCTGCTCCATCCAATTAAATCCGCTCATTCTAAATTCCAAATAACAAGCAGTCATAAAACTTAACAGTAGTTTCCCCATAAATGTAAGCCCCTGTTCTTTTGATAGTTTTAAAAGCCCTGTCGTGTCTCTGAGCCAAAGATTTTCACGGCCATGTCCTCCACAGCAAATTAAAGACCACTTTATACACATTTTAAATAGCAGCCACCTCGATTTGTGTAGTCTGAGGATGTCGCTTCCTTGAAGTTATAATTGGGACTGCTGGAAAAATGCATTGGAATTTGTGTCACATGCTTTGAGTGTCCAATAAGACCAAACCATTTGCATTTGATGCACCAATGCTGGAAATCAAAGTCTCTCTACATGAGTGCCATTGCATCTTGAGGTTCAAATAAAATGAAATTAGGATTTCATTCTAATGAAGTGAATGCTCTGCATATTTACAAGATATGAAAGCATGGAGACATGGGCCTACATTACCAAAGTTCTCTGAACGCCTCATGAAAAGCTTTTGAAAATGTAAATCAAATAAATTTTAAATAAAGAGAAAAAATGCAAGATGCACTGGTCCCTTCTTAAACAGTCAAGTGTGTGGACTTCACTAGAGTAGCTTAGCATGATCCTCAGTTCAAAATAATGCTTCTTTATCTTGTCCTGACCCTCAGTGAAGCCTTCAGTTTGTGGTGGCTCCTTTCTATTTAAGCCAGTTTTCTTCTGACCTGCGTTGTCAGCAATATCAACTCTTATTGACATCATACAGAGCCAAGAGTGGAAAAGCTGCCTGGAACTCTGTAACTAGAGCAGTACATAAACAGATTATTGGAAATGTGTGATCTAAACATTATTGTCGCAGTATATATGAATATATACATACAGCAGAAGAAGAAATTGAGAAAAGAATATTCCTTCTGCTTTAATCTATTTCCTGCACTACTTCTTGTTTTTAACATGTTTTCACATATTTTCTGATGGTTTTCCTTTTTGTCTCTATCAGATCTCATGATTGAAATGGAAGACCACACCAGTGACCTGAGCGAAGGTCGCATCCCCTTCCTGGACTACAAAACCTACACCAACCGAAATTTCTTCCTGCCCTCCAAGGACGGCGCCAATGACCCCATGATCACGGGAAAACTACAAATCCCAGAAGCCCGCAGGGCCACTGTGGCTCAGGCGCTCAACCAGTTCTCCAACCTGCTGAACAGCAAAACGTTTCTCATAAATGTGAGTTTGAAGATTTGAAGTGGATTTTCCTCTTTCTCTTATTCTTCTTCCAGCTCAGTTTTTTTAAATTTTCCTGCTTATTTTTCTGTCTTTGTATCTATTTCTTATTCATGTATTTATTATCATTAAATTTACTGTCATATGTGTAGTTTATCCACACGCTGGAGAGACGTCCAGACTTTAACGCCCGGTCTCGGGGTTATTTCGCCTCTCTGTTGACGGTGGCGCTGCACGGCAAACTGGAGTATTACACGGACATCATGAGGACGCTGCTGCTGGAGCTGATGGACGAGCATGTGCAGAACAAAAACCCCAAACTCATGCTCAGGAGGTGAAGACAGGACAGAGACTCGGTGGTTTATTCTGTGAATGTCGTAGTGATGGAAAAGTGATCTAATGTCTCCCTCTGTTTGTGTATCTAGGTCAGAGACAGTGGTGGAGAGGATGCTTTGTAATTGGATGTCCATCTGCCTCTATCAGTTCCTCAGGGTAACACTGATTTTCTTTTTCACTTACTCCGTGTCACACATTCCTTTCCTTCGATTTGTTTTTATGTCCTTGTCTCTTCGATCTGTTTCTCTTTCCTGCTTTTTTCTGCCTCTCCTCTTTGTTCCTCAGTTATAATTGACTCTAATAAACTTTCCTTCCTACTGAAAGCAGATCTTAAACCTGTATTTTGTGCTTGGTGTGTGTTTTGTTTTGACCAATTTGGGATTTTTGCTGTTTACTCTGACAGCAGCTGCAGATACGCTGTGCATTAGTTTCTATAATTTAACACACTCATAATAAACACAGTTCATGCTTCAGCTCCAGAGAAAGTTTACACCACGGACATGCTTTATGTTTTCATAGAGACCAGCAGTTGTGCTGTGAATGAATTTATGACCCAAACTAAAAAGTTGAACATATCCAGAGAGTTCAAATTCAAACAGCAGGATACTAAATCTGAACAACAGGAAACCCACAAGACAAAAAAAGAATAACAAACTGCCTCTCACTTTTCACAAAGAAAACAAAATGTGAAAATTCACATAAAGAAAAAAGATCTGTTCAGCAGTTCAAAAAGCAGAAAAAACCTGTAACTAACAACTAAAATAAAGAAATGTCTGTTGTGACTGACACCCTGACAGATCCAAAGCTTCCACATAATACAAAAGGGTCTGCAGTCCTTTTTCAAAACTCTTTTGTTTGTCTCTCATTCTGTATGTAATGGGTTTTTTTGTTTTCTTTTTCTTTTTCTTTTTTTTGGAGGGGGGGGCAGTTTGGCATAATTTGTCAGAGAAAACTGACAAATTATAAAATATAAGTACTTTAATAATTTCAATAGTGAGAAAACAACCTTCTTTGTCTCCTTTTTATATTTAATAAACCTTAAATTCTACTATTATGATGAACACAGTTAATAAAAATACAGTATAAATTGATATTTAACTTTAGTAAACAGTTACACTTGTGTGTGTGTGTGTGTGTGTGTGTATATATATATATATATACCCTAATATACATAGATATATTTTCTTAACCAGTTATCCAACTCAGGGTTGTTGGGAATGCTGGAGCTTTTACCAGCTGTCAGTGGGTGGTCAATTCCCCAGTCTGTCGTAGGGCTAGCACACAAACACAAACAGTCAATATTGAATCAGTAATTAAAGGCCCGTACAGTTGTGATCAGAAGTTTACAGCTACTCCTCATGGGCATGAGTGGTGATTTTGGACTTTGTGCAGTGTACCAACCCAGAGCGTGGTGCTACACCACCATCCTTGACAGTTGGAACAGTGTTCAAACATACATCTCATCATTGTGGCGAAACATAAAACTTTTCTCAAAGACATTTAGATCATCCGTGTGTGCAGCTACAAAATTTCAGTCGACCTCGAAGGTGTCGATTTCAGGGCAGCTCAGATTTTTCTCTCAGCGCACGGTAATGTAAAACTCTTTTCCTGTGGGCAGTGACGCTGTTGTCCAGCAGGCCTATTTCTCAGCATCCTAACCAGTTTCGTATCATCCGAGAGTGGCAGTTTGGATCTTCTTTGAGACCTTGGCAAAGTAGTGACACATTTGTGTAACTTGTACTTCCGGAAAGTTGTTTTTAACTGATCATCTTGGAATCTGCAGTTATTAAGACATGGCTCCAAGAAACTTTGTGTAAATCTGCCAATTGTCTTTCTCTCATGTTCACTGGATTCATTGGAGTTTTCCATTGTTCTTAGTATACAATCAATCAAAAAACATTTTAAACACAAATTCAATGGTCATGTTAGGGTCAGTGGACTGCTGGGTTTTTACTACTAGAAATCTTTGGTAATCCATAGTAAATAGCGCAGATGAGAATTATGGCTTATTTATAAAAGAACGATACTAGATTTTTATGAGACCTTAACTCTTTTTTTTTTTAAGACGTTGATGTCTCTGTTTCAGGACACGGCAGGAGAGCCTCTGTACAAACTGTTCAAGGCCTTGAAGCACCAGATTGAGAAGGGTCCCGTGGATGCCAAGATGAAGAAGGCCAAATACACGCTGAACGACACGGGACTGCTGGGAGATGACGTCGAGTACTCTGTGCTGGTCAGTATGAACAAAAGCACCGCAGTGTGCAGTCTTCCTTCACACACACGTTAAGTTGGAGAGATTATGTATCTCACCGGTTTGATAGCAGCAGCAGCCAGGGAGAGGGAGGTGTGTCAGTTGTCCATCAGAGCAGACCCCCAGCTCCAGAATGAGTCATGCTTTGGGTCGTTGGTTGCGTAATGAAAACAAGCCTTCACTGTGGCTCCACTTTTACCTTCTTGCATCTTCCCGGTGTGTTTGTGCTGTCAGACTTTGCAGGTGTTGGTGCATGGGGAGGGACCAGATGTGACTCCGGTGAAGGTGTTGAACTGTGACACAATCTCCCAGGTGAGAATCTTCTTCTATTCTCAGAGTTAAATTTTTTTTTGGTCGTTGTCGTCAGGACTGTTTGATCTCTGGCTGAGTTTTAAAACGAAGAGAAGCTTTGCTGTATCTTTCCCTGCCACCCTGCACTTTGTCCTTAAAACTGATCGAATGTCTAGAATAGTTTGAGGTAGTTGCAAAACTTCTGTCTGTCGATATTCTGCAGCTAATAAATGTGAATGAGATATCATTGTCTGTGTTTTGAGTTGACATTATGGCAGGTGAATTTGTAATTTTGTGCTCTGCAGGTGAAAGAGAAGATCATCGATCAGGTGTACAGAAATCTGCCGTATTCTCAGAGACCAAAGGTGGAGAGTGTTGCACTGGGTAAGAAACAAAAACAATCATTAAGCAGCTAGGAAAAATACAAATTATTGATTATTACACCCAGCGTTCAGCATCTTAAACTCCTGGGTTACAACAATATTTGTGGTGGTGGGGGTGGAGTATATAAAGAATATTTAGCTTTTTTGACCTTTAGATAGACCTTAAAACTATAATGTCACCTAAATAAGTCCTGTTTTCCTCACGTGTGTCCTTTCCTGAGCTGCACACCTCGAACAGCTGTCAGTCTACAGATCAGATTACTATGAGTGAATCCAGTAATCACTAAACTAGAACCTGTTTTACAAGGTGAAGTAGACTAAAACATAACAAAAAGTGACATGATCATGCCACAATGTTAAGAAACTGATGGGAAAGTCTATCCACGGCACCATTATCCACAAATGAAGAAAAGTCCCGGGAGTGACTGGCCGACCAAAATTACTCCAAGAGCTCATCCATGACTCATCCAAGAAGTCACAAATGAACCCAGAACAACATCTAAAGAACTGCAGGCCTCTCAGTTAAGGTCAGAGTTCAGGATTCAACAATAAGAAAGAAACTGTGTAAAATGGAAACAATGGGAGAGTTCAAGGAGAAAAGCACTGCTGACCAAAAAGAACAGAAAGGCTCGTCTCATATTTACCAAAAAACATCTGGATGATCCCCAAAAGTTTGGGGGAAAAAACTGTGGATTGGCGAGACAAAAGCTGAACTTTCTTTATGAAATTTGAGTCCCGTTACATCTGGATTAAACCTAATACAGCATTTCATAAAAAGAACATCATACCAGCAGCTAAACATGGTGGTGGTAGTGTGATGGTCTGGGGCTTCTTCACTGCTTCAGGACGACTTGCCGTAGGAAACATGAATCCTGCTCTCTACCAGAAAATCCTGAAGGAGAATCTCTGGCCATCAGTTTGTGGCCTGCTGAGGTATGATCTGAAACATACCAGCAAGAGCATCTCTGAATGGTTAAAAAATAAATAAAATTTAAAGGGTCTAATCTATGTTAGTCCAGCAGGCCGTTCATGCTGGAAAACCCTCTAATGTGGCAGAAATAAAAGAATTCTGTAAAGAATGTGAACGACTCATCGCCAGTTAATGATTCACGTTTGCATTTCACTGACAGTTTAAGTACTGCAAGGAGAAAACAGGTCATGCTGGAAAAAAGTGTTTCTTTCCCTTTAATAGTCCCTCCCTCCAGATACCACACACCCAGATGTTTTAACTTGATTGTAAAGATTAAGCATGAAGCTGCAGTGATGTTTAAACAGGTCTGTCAGGCCACTAAAAGACTACAAGGCTTCTATAAGGGAAGTGAGACATGCTGTGAATAAGGATTAGCTGGATTTCAGGGTTGACCTTAAATACCCCGTAGCATCCTGAGACAGAGAATTTCATTAATCCCACAGAGAATTCCCACTGCAGCTGAATCACATATAACAGCCATTCTAGTGTGTGCCGTGTAAACTTTCAAACAGTTATTGCTGGGTATGAAAGTACAGGAATAATTCACCACTTCAAACAGGAAGTTTTAAGATGTAAAGCTCTTTTAATATTCAGCAGCATGTGTCCTTTCTACGGCTGCATTTCCATCCACTGCAGCAGAGTTTTTATCCGGCAAACAGCTGGAATTTCACAAGATTCAAAACAGAATCCATTTTCTTCTCCCCGGACTTCAGTAGGTTGTAATGCTGCTGCTATAGAGGTGTGATGACAGACTGATGATAATCATTTGATCTCCTGCTAAGTGCTTTTCTGAATGTGAGTACCTGCCAGAGTTTTTCATCCACAAACTTTTCAAAGATGGCAAAAATCGCCTAACCACATGTTAACTATCGCTGACTTGTTCGTTGGGTCGGCCTGATGGGCGCTGCATTCTGCTTTTATTGATTGTTTTGCTGTCAGGTAATTGATGACGCTGTGGGCTTTTCAAAAGGTCATTTGGGAGCTAAATAGGTTGGTTGTGGACTCTGTTGTTTATTGCTTGTTTGCTGCTGACAGGCAACCTGAATATGTTTACAAAAATGTCTGAATTAAGATTGTACCGACTCAGCGGGTCTTTGATTTCATTAGTTCTTAGTACATTAGTGTTTGGGCCTTCTACTTTCTGTTGAGGAAAGTTTTGGGTGTTTTTGTTGCTGTTTTTTTTTTTATTTTTTGCTGTTAGCGAGCGATTACAAGTAATTCTGGTGATTGGCGGTTAAGTGTGCCTCAACCTCACCCATCCAGGTTGCCGACATGTTGCAAACTATCTGAATTGGTCTGAATCGGTCTCTTTGCAAAAGGGAACTGGACTGGTTGCCTGTCATTTTGTAGTTGGATGGCCATTCTTCGTCACCGTGACTATTTGTAGAATGATTTGACTCTGAACGTTTTAGTTAAAAGTGCCAGTTTATGGTAAAAATAAATGGCCTGTATTTATATAGCTAGTCCTTAAGGACCCCAAAGCGCTTTACATATCCAGTCATCCACCCATTCACACACTGGTGATGGCAGCTACATTGTAGCCACAGCCACCCTGGGGCGCACTGACAGAGGCGAGGCTGCCGGACACTGGCGCCCCCGGGCCCTCTGACCACCACCAGTAGGCAACGGGTGAAGTGTCTTGCCCAAGGACACAACGACCGAGACTGTCCAAGCCGGGGCTCGAACCGGCAACCTTCCGATTACAAGGCGAACTCCCAACTCTTGAGCCACGATTGTTTATCACAATAAATAACTCTATTATCACAAATGAACTGCATGTAATTGCCGATTTGAGTGCATTCATTCACAAACCCATAGCAGACTGTTAGCAGGCTGCCTCAGTCTTGATACCACTTTATCGCCATCTTGGTGCGCCAACGTTGCTTTGAAGACGACAACTGATTGTGAGACCAAAGCCATTTTCAAAGTGACCATTTCCAAGGTAACAAGATAAACTGGCATCAGTCTGCCTCTTTCTCTGTGGAGTATTTAGTCTTATGTTGCTAACATGGGAATCTATCACGGCCAGGCTGCCCTGTGGTCACTTTGGTTTGTCGATCAGTCTGACTGATGGATCATCCAATCAAGATTTTTATGGGCATAACTTCCTTTTTCTTAGCTGTGTGTAAGAAACCATCTGAACCATCCGCAAGGTGTAGATTTAAGCCCAGGTACTTTGGACCTATCCCATCCCCTATCAGAAATATCCAATACTGGGCAACCTATTGAACACAATAAGTGTTGAGAGGAGTGATGGTAGGAGCATATCCCACTGTACCTACAATGATTCACACACATGGATCAGGTTGGCACACCATCACTTTTATGCTAAATTACATGTTAATTTCCTTCTGCTTGTCCCTGCAGAGTGGCGTCCCGGCTCCACGGGTCAGATCCTTTCTGACCTCGACCTCACATCCCAGAAGGAAGGACGCTGGAAGAGACTCAACACACTGGCTCATTACAACGTGAGTTCCACCTGCTGCACATGCCTATTTCTGCCCTGTGTCGTTTCCCCTTTTCCTTCATCCTGCTGAGTGTCTTATTACCAAACACTTCCTGTCATTTCCTGATGGTTAAACTGCTGTTTGTTAAAGATGAGGTCAATTGCAAGCAAGCACAGCGATGCCACACCTCCCACCGCTGCTGCTGTGATCCTGTACAAACAAGGTTAAATGCATCTCCGTGGACTGAAACTGTCCTACATGCAGTGGAGCGGTTTAAAAAGTCCAACATCACTCAAGAATTACTTGTTTGTCTCATGAGGCCGTCAAATAAGAGAAAACTGTCCCAGAAATCCCTGAACTGAAGTCTTTACTCATCAAGATGAAGATTTACACTCATCACATGCACTGAGGTCATGAATGCTTTGGTAATACTGGGTAAAAGTGTTAATGTGGCATCATTTAAAAAAATATTTTTTTATATTATTAGATGAATAATATTATTAGTGTGTTACTGCCCATCCAATGCAGGACGCCTGCAGACGAGACTCACAGAAAAAGGATCTTCTCCTAAATCAGTTCAGACGTTAACCTTTTATCGTGTTTTATCCATCTGTTTCTTAAGCGCTTATCCGGTGGGGCTGGAGCCCAACTCAGCTTTCACTGGGTGAGAGTCAGGTTACATCGTGGATAGGTCGCCAGGGCTAACTCGGAGAAACACAACCATTCACACTCACGTTCAGCACAGTGTAGAATCACCAGTTACTTTAATACACATGTGGACTGTGGAAGGAGAGAACATGCAATCAATTAACTTTTCCTCATCTATCCTAAATGTATCTATTTTATTTACCTTTGTTGTTTCTTTCTTGGACTTGTCTGTTTTTATTTTGGTCAAAATGTTTTTGCACAGCAATTTTAATGTAGATTAGTGCCGTTCAGCACCAGTGCAGTTATTGATTTTCTTTTTCACATGTAAACTAAAGTCATGTGAAAAACTAAGTACACCCTCACCTGTTCCATAGGAATGTTGGGGTCCTGAGCAAGTCGGCGTTCCCTCTGCGCTCTCTGGGTGTTTTTAATCATGTCTGTTTCTCTGTGTTGAGCTGAGCTCTTTACTTCTGCACCAAAATCACCAACAAGTGGAAGCGTAGAGAAATGGCGAGCCTCTCGAGACTCGTGCTGCACGAAGACCAGCAGGAATTAAAACGCCAGTCCAGTCCACTCTCCCTTCTGACATTTAAGGAAAATTTGTTTATTGAGAACGCTGCAGTGAGACAGAAAATCATCACTTCCCTCAATTTCTAACCGATTTCCTGTCTTACAGGTTCGAGACAACGCCACGTTGGTGCTGTCCAGAGTTTTGCACACACAGTCTTTCCACCAGCACCAAGACAGCCATGAAGAGAGTACGTCCACACACACACACACACACACACACACACACACACACACACACACACACACACACAC